GCAATTTTAAGTAAGATTAACATGCATTTCTCCTATATGGAGCAATGCTTGATTAGCAAACCTTAACTTCAAAAAATCATATCTTGAAAACTACTCGGTATATTTTTTTGAAAATTTGGATTACAACTAGTAAAGAGATGCTCTACACGATGGTAACGATGAAGAAAAAATTACTCGGAAGGTTTTTCTTAGAATATTTCGTTTTACTTCGAACTTCTTCGAACACTGTTCGAAGAAAAGTTTGCCAATATTCAATTTCAAATTTTATATCATTCTAAAGGGCAAGGCCATCCCTTTAGAATGGTCTTTATTTGAAGGAAATCGACTTAATAGTTATTGAGTAATGATTTTTTAATGGTAAAGTATTTTAAATTCATTTAAATTAGAAAAAAATATTTAGTTCAAAGTGTGTGGACTTTTTAATTTTTTTTAGTGCATTTGATTTGTCTCACTGAGACGAACAAAATGATATAAAATTTGTCAAGTTGTCACAACATGACTTTTTTTATGTCGCCCTGTGTTATTAAGTGCAATAAATGGGAAATGTAGGTTTTATTTATGTTTCAAGTAGATACATAATTTATCTCCTCAAGGATATTATGTTATTTGGCTTGCAGGGAGTTAATCCATTTTAATTGTTTTGGTATTAAAATATGAATTAGTTAAATTATAAATTATTTAATAACTCCAAATATATTTTTTATTCTTTTTTATGGTATTTGTGGATAATCTATTCGCACAATTAATTAAAAAAGTTGTGTAATAGTTAATTTCAACATTTATGTTTATTTTTTGTAACAAAATATAACAACAAAAGGTTAAACATAACTTTCTTCAACGAGTTTGATTTGCTTTCAAAGTTATAAATTAAAATAAAACATAAAATTTTGACCCGAAATTTTAGAATTGCAATTTATTTACCTGATATTTCAATAAAAAAAATGATGTATAGATTCAAAATCAAGCAATCTGCAAATCGTGGTCATAATTTGGAAAAAGTTATTTCCGATCGCTGCAGTAAAGCTCTTTGTGGTTTTTCAACATTTACGAAGCCGTTTGATTAATTGGAAATCGCCAATTAAACTGTTTGAAATTTTATTAGGATCCAGCTGAAAGCCATATCTCGACATCTTCACGAATTAAACCACATGCAGGGAAACTCAGTTAATAGGCAATGAAGCTAGATTATTAAGGATTTAGTCAGCGTCGTCAATGGAACTTTGTTAAGCAAACTGTTTGATGAGGAATTTTAAATCCAACATTTTAACTAAATTTGTCGATAATGAAACTGACGAAGCGTGAGTTATGTACAGGTACCTAATTAACTCGAAATTAATTAGAGTGTCATTAATTAAATTATAAGGATTGATTTTTTGTTATTCTTAAATAATGACTTTAATCCGAGTTGGGCCAAGCTTTGACAACGTAAATCTCAAGGTTTTTTATTAAAATTCTTGTCTTTTATGAACTTTAATACCTGTAAAATTTTCACAGCAGGTTAATTAAAACGCTAATCAATACTACTCTGCACAAAGCGTCACTTCACATCCTATCCCACGTGAGACATATCTAGCCGTGGGTTTAGTTCAATTAAAAAGAGCAACTCAGGCCCCAAGTGTGGCGTTTAATTTTGTATCAAGTCAATATAAAGTTCTAAGTAGATGAAGTTGTTGCAAACTAACGAAGTCAATTAAACTTGGTCGTATGCTAATAATGGAATATAAATATATTTGCTCATCGGTATGATACGAGTGAATGTAAACATTTACCCAAAGTGTTAATTCAAGTCTGGTTTTAATGGCGATCTTATCTGGCTTGCAGGGTTATACGGATGAACCAATATCGAAAATCCTGTCCAATATTAGCGCTAGCGAGACTGTGTTATTAGATAGGTGGTCTTTAGAGGTTGAGAAGAATCCAAATGCTGAAGCTAACGAAGGCGGCAAAGATAATTTACCTCTCAACGTTGTAAATAATTATTATTCATTAGGTGTCGATGCTCATATTGCCTTAGAATTCCACGAAGCTCGAGGTTAGGGGACTATTAATTATGACAAAGGCTATTTACTAAAGCTTACTCAAATTGCAGAAGCTCATCCCGAAAAATTCAATTCTAGATTAAGAAACAAAATGTTTTATGGCCAGATGGGGGGTAAAGATTTGCTCAAGAGAAAATGGAAGGGTTTAGCTGATTTCGTCACGTTAGAATGCGACGGCAAGGATCTAACACCTAAATTGAAAGAGCTTAAAGTACACGCAATAGTCTTCTTAAACATTCCAAGGTAGTTTATTTCTATTTTGCAACATTTGTAAACACGAAATATTTTAGTTATGGTGGAGGAACAAGACCTTGGAACAGATCCATGGGCACTTGTGAACCAAGCACTGACGATGGTCTGATTGAAGTCGTCGGTTTGACAACATATCAGCTTGTGAGTAAGTTTAGGGATTTAGCACACTTCTTTCTGCACAATATTTCATCAATAGAAGCATTAAGTTAAATGATTTGACTTTTGTAGCCTTTACTCCAAGCTGGAGGCCATGGTACTTGCATAACTCAGTGCAGATCGGCGAAAATAGTTACATCCAAAACAATACCCATGCAAGTAGATGGAGAAGCTTGTAAATTAAACCCTTCGATTTTAAATCTTTCACTTTTAAATAAAGCTCCAATGTTAGCAAAGCGAAAATGTGGTAAACCCAACGTACCGCAAACTGCTCTCGACAATCTGAAAATTTGTGTTCATAGAATTAGCATGGCTGACTATGAACAGCACCATTATGACAAGGATCTATTAGCTCAAGCGGGTAATTAATTACAAAAGGCGATAAAAAAAAGTCATGTCGTGACAACTTGACAAGTTTTATATCATTTTGTTCGTCTCAATAAGGCAAATCAAATGCACTAAAAAAATTCAAAACGTCCACACAATTTGAACTAAATAATTTTTTTCTAATTTAAATGAATTTAAAAAGGGATGGACTTGCCCTTTAGAATGATATGCTATTTGAAATTGAATATTGGCAAACTTTTCTTCGAAAAAGTTCGAAGTAATCTAAGAAAAACCCTACGAGTAAATTTTTTTTCTTCGCCACCATCATGTAGAGCATCTTTTTATTAGTAAGGATCCAAATTTTTAAAATAATATACCGAGTAGTTTTCAAAATACGATTTTTTGAAGTTAAGAAATACATGTTAATATTACTTAAAATTGCATTTTTATAAAAGTTTTTGTTTTAAGACTCTTCTTTTGCTTAATAATGGTCAATTGCACCTTCTTCGTTCTAATTAAAATAAACAAAAACTGTTTATTTACTTAAAACAAACAAAGAGTACCTGCGTACTAACTAAAGCAAATAAAGAGTTTTTTTGTTCTAAAAATGATCACTGATCATTGAGCAAAAAGGATCTAGAAGTTTAAAGCAGTAGCTTTAAATATAAGAACAAATCTTTTTCAAATTAAATGACTCTCCATTCAGATTCCAACTTCTTCACTTTGTTCTAGCTTTCTGAACTTTTTTTTGAAAATGTTCTCAGCAAATGCTTTTTCATCACTTTCTACTAATGTTGAATGCAATAAGTTACTTGCTTCGTGTACAACTGTTATCACAACAACTACTACCTACAAGCTAACTGAAGCTAATCGTAGAATGTACCAATAAAATAAATCAGGTGACTTATTGCATTTAACATCACTCGAAAATGATGAGAAAGCATTTGCTTAGAACATTTTCAAAAAAAGTTCAGAAAGCTAGAATGAAGAGAACAAGTCGAAATCTGTAAAGTAATTTGATTTGAAAAAGATTTGCCCTTTRCTCTTTGTTCAATGATCAGTGGTCGTTTTTACCTCAATAAAACTCCTTATTTGCTTTAATTAGTATGCAGGTACTCTATGTTTGTTTTAAGTAAAGAAACAGTTTTTGTTTATTCTAATTAGAACAAAGAAGGTGCAATTGACCATTTTTAAGCAAAAGAAGAGTCTTAAAACAAATTCTTTTTATAAAAATGCAATTTTAAGTAAGATTAACATGCATTTCTCCTATATGGAGCAATGCTTGATTAGCAAACCTTAACTTCAAAAAATCATATCTTGAAAACTACTGGGTATATTTTTTTGAAAATTTGGATCCTTGCTAATAAAAAGATGCTCTACACGATGGTGACGAAGAAAAAAAAATTTACTCGTAGGGTTTTTCTTAGATTACTTCGAACTTTTTCAACCACTGTTCGAAGAAAAGTTTGCCAATATTCAATTTCAAATTGCATATCATTCTAAAGGGCAAGTCCATCCTTTAGATTGGTCTTTATTTGAAGGAAATCGGCCTAATAGTTATTGAGTAATGATTTTTTAAAGTTAAAGTATTTTAAATTCAATTAAATTAGAAAAAAATTATTTTGTTCAAAGTGTGTGGACTTTTAAAAAAAAATAGTGCATTTGATTTGTCTCACTGAGACGAACAAAATGATATAAAATTTGTCAAGTTGTCACGACATGACTTTTTTTGTCGCCTTGTGTTATTTGTTTTATCGATGCGAAATAAAAGTGTTTTTTGCAGCAATAAGCGTTGGCACAATCGAAGTTAATCCGGTTTGGGATTTGGAACAAGTGAGGGCATTAATTAACAAATTTATCGAAGACTGCAAAGATCAACAAAAAATCTACCCCGAGTGGTGTTTTTTAGACTGTGAGTGTAGTGATTTCGCACTAATTTGTATTAAACGAGCTAATTGCAGCATGTACTGCTGAACGGTTTTTCCGAATTGACAAAGCCCAAGAAAACCTTCATTACGTGTTGGATATAGCGGTCGATAACTTATACATTTTGGAATGCGGAGGTGGAACCGTTCCTCAAACTCCCGAAGACGAAACAGCCACACCGTCACCGAGTTCTATTAATCAAACATCGTACATTATTCCAGAAATGCGAGTTAGGTAAGTGACTGTAATTATCTCGGGAATAAGTTGTATTGATTGGCTGATGTAGTGATGAAGGCAGCTTGGATTCGCCGAGCGATCAACCACCGATGAGTCCAAAAATCCTGCAATCTCCGGAAGAATTTCCCGGCGAGACAATTGCGGAAGAGAACCGCAATGGCGACAAGCAATTAGCGCGTATTTCCCCTGACGCTAGCGTGAAAATAAGAAGGTACTTAAATTTTATTTTAGCTTTGACTTATTTTTATACCAAGCCTCTGATTGAAATCGAATAAACTAAATCAATTAGGAATTCCTTAAACCTACTAGACTCAATTGTAATACGCTAGAGCCCTGTACATATAGTTAAAGCCTTCCGGCCGTTTGACCAATTTTATTATATTGCATGTAGAAATATCCATCAATGTAAAGACTTATCAAAAATCTTGTTAGCATGTTTCCAGAATAAATTTCCTTTAACTATGAATTAGCTCTTTTAATAAATCCTTTTAACCTAACACAAGTTAACAAGATCAACCATCACGATTACTTTCACGCTATTTTTTTCTACAATTTTCTACACTAAACCAATACTGTGCATGCAGCATCACTGAGAGACTATTTGGTTTATCTCAAGAATCTTACAGTGTCTATAGGTAAGAATTCGGACCTGACTTGCACTCTTTTACTCGAAAACAATCAAACCTTAGAGAAATATACTAATTCTTTGACTTCTATTGTAGGGACTTGCCACAAAAGCCGAACGAAGCGCTCTTAAAAGCAGCCAAAGTGGGAGACTTAAAAACAGTAATCATCTGAAATTTCTTACCTCTCACAATACAGTAATGTATTCCAGGTCAAAGAATTGCACAGTCAAGGCTACTCTCTACTTACCAAAGATCCTGCTGGACAAACAATGTTGCATTACGCGTCTCGGTATGGTCACAAAGATATTGTTAAATACTTACTCCAACATGCTCCTCCTTCAATTCTGAATCTCAAAGATGTAAACTTGTAAGTAATTTTTAACTAGATTGGGTGCAGAAATGTACAATTTTTGATTCTAAGAGGACAAACGGCGCTTCATAAAGCAGCAGCGTATAAGTGGCGTAGTATTTGCTGTATGTTGGTCGCCGGAGGCGCAGCTCTGGATATTACAGATCGTCGAGGTTTAACTCCGAGATTATTAGCGTTACAATCCGACGATCATGATTTGGCTGCCTATCTTGAAAGTAATTGAATTATTTGAATTCGATTTTCGGTACAGTAATAGCCTTTTTCCAGGTCAAGAACACTTTCAGTTGGTGTCTTCGAGTTTAGGGACTGTTGTATGAAAAGAGCAATAAACATGTATTGTTTCGGTATTGTATTAAATTTTCCTGTCAATGGTTTTTCTAAAATTGCCTTACTATTTGTATTCAAAATTGCTAATGTATGATTGTACCTAAAATACTACAAATGTGATAATACTAAAGTTAAGCTTTTTTTATTATTTTTCTATTTATTTATTTTATTAGCTATAGTAATTCTGTTTGAGTTTTAATTTGTGTCCCTTGTAAAAGTCTCATATTTTTTCACTAGAGGATTTAGATAATATTAAGGTATTCTTCCAAATAAGGAGAACAATCATAAAGTATTGTAAATAATTGATATATGTTTTGAATTTATTAAAAAAAACATATCATTCATGACATTCCTGTAAATTTTTATAGAAGTAAGTGTGTTAAATAAGTTTTGTTGTTTACTTTTATTTGTTGAATTATTTGCTTGAAGAAATTCGAACACAGGGCAATAAATTAGATTCGATGTGTCTAGTATATTATTATCCATAAATGTTATACTCTTTTTATTATATTGTTACGTTTTACGGTAGATAGAACGCAACATATAAACTATAAATGGCACGTTTCTCAAAAACACAAATCCGTAATCTTCAGTTTGAATTTTGCAACAATGCATAATTGAAAACTTACTTTGAGAAGCATGCCCACATTTTGTATATAAGTACTGCAACGAATTTCAATATTTCCCGAAAAGACAATCTGTAAATGTTTGAAATAAAATAATTGTTGTAAGTGCTATTCATGTATTATAATAGTTGTATACATTTTTGTCTCTTTGAAAATTTTATTATTCGATTTTTGAACTGCATTAAGCATCTAGGATTTGAAATATTAACAGTAATAGTTTGTAAATATGTAGGGATTAAGCATCACTCTATAGATAAACTAGTCTTGTAGTGATTCAATTGCAGAAATTTTTATAAAGTACTTTCAGCAAAACTGAAAGTAATTCTTATAATTATGCAACTTTGTTATAACTGCTATAAAAAAATTAAACAAAATTCCTTTGACATATAACTTTTTACAAATTTCTGCAATGACAATTAAATCAATGCCTTATAAATTTTGAGTTTTTTAACAGAATAGTCAATTCTAGCTATAAATTGGAACATAATTTATTGACTGTTTATTATTTTAGTTAATTTTGTCACTATAAAATACTCTTTATTTTCTTAGTATATTTTACTTTAAAAAACGTATTTATTGTTTTGTAGAGTTTAATTGACATCAATTCCATTTAAAATGGAAAAATCTCGCTCGATATTCTTTCACTAGTTACTATGAAAATGTGATGGAAACTAAATGTACATAAATATTTATGTAATTACTTCTTGTAAGTCAAATCTAGTCTTTACAGGTGTAAGTTTTAGTGGTAGTTGAAAGAAAATACATTAATAGTAAATATAAAACCACATTTTTTGCCATTCAATAAATTACTACTCAAGTCAGTTTCAGTTTGAAACAATATGGAAAAATTGCTTATAATAAAATTACCTGTATACGTAACAGTTTTATTTTATTTACATAAGACGTTACGTTAAACTACCCTAAATTAAAAACTATGTAAAAATTAATTAATTAAATTAAAAACTAAGTTAAGGTACACCTTAACATTGTGAAATTTTAATTCAACTAGTATTAGGTAGAGTTTTAAATGACTTGTTATCTATTTCATATTAATCTGACACCAAAAAACGAAGTATAAAGTTATAGAATAACAACGTATTTGCACGTACCCAGAGTTTTAAACCTGAAAATAATTAACTATGTAACGAAACTAGCACAAATAATGAAATTCAATTTGTGTCAGTTTCGTCTGTCTCCGAACTAAGTTCGTGTTAATGAGATATTATAGGGTTTTTTTACAATGTCATGGAAATTCATAAATTTAAGCCACATTCACACATTTGCGCTTTTCCCAAACTCTATATTATCAATTTAATCACGAATTTTTTGGTCAATTATTTACTTGAGTTAGTTTTTTTTAACCTGTCCATTTAGGTAACTAAGGGTCCAATCATGTGTCTAGGTCTATTTTAAAAAATTAAATTTTATGTGGTGACATTTTACCAAAAACGTATTGGGCCAGTTGTAAATTTGAAAAAAGTTTTCTCCAATCTCATACCGTTATAACTGACCACTGTTTGTAGCACAGTTTGCAAAGGGTTTTTATAGCACCATGACCACAACATATTTTTGTAATTACACGTAGTAAAGATGTTTTAATAATATTATTGTAAACTCTCTTACTGTAAATCGTGTAAAACGGCTGACATTTAACTTCGATTTGATCATTTTCTATGCCTAACTATGTATTATTATATGATTATCAAATATAAATAAATATATTAAAAAATTTTTAGTTTTGTTTTCACGTACTTATTTGATAAACGAACCATAAAACCGGTTGTTGAATTGAATTCTGATTCTCTTATCTCTCTTTCTCTTTCTGACATTTAATTAATCCGTTACGATCTAAAAAATGTTAACAATTGATTATCTAATCTTACTGTTTTAAATCTCTCATGAGACAAAATACATTTAGAGTTAAAAATGATGTTTCACACTATTGTTCTGTGTTTACTTTTCTTAACAACTTTTGGTAAACCAAGTGCCTCTAATACATTTGACTTGACAGTTTTGCACATAAATGACTTTCATGCAAGGTATTTAAATTTGAAATTTTACCGTTAAACAAACCGTTTTATAGATTTGAGGAGTCAAACGATCAAGGAGGTTCTTGCAAAAGTGATCATTGTATTGGAGGATTTTCTCGAGCGTTTAATGTAATAAATCAATCTTTGGCTCAACATCCTGATTCAATTTTATTAAACGCGGGAGATAATTTTCAAGGAACACTATGGTATAATCTTTTCAAATGGAATGTGACACAATATTTCCTCAACACATTGCCATTTGACGCCATTGTAAGTGTTTCAAAGTGGGAATTTCTGATAATAAAATTGATTTGAGGTGTTGGGTAACCACGAGTTTGATGATGGTATTAAAGGAGTTGTCCCATTTATCAAAAATTTAAAAGCTCCAGTCATTGTATCAAACATAGACGATAGTCAAGAGCCTGATATACAAAACACTTATCAAAAAAGTGTCGTTGTCGAGAGAAACGGTAAAAAAATTGGGATTATTGGTGTATTGATTCACACATGTAATGTAAGTTATTTGATAGATATATTTTGAGAAATTTTACAAAACTATTGATCAACAGGAAATCTCAAACACCGAAAAATTAAAATTTTTTGACGAGTCTGAATCAGTTAATACCGAAGCTGAGAGATTAGTTAAAGAAAAAGGAGTTTTCACAAACATAGTTTTATCTCATTCTGGTTACGACATTGAACAAGAAATCGCCAGAAAAGCAACTAAAGCGTCTAAAATTAGTCTGGTCGTTGGGGGCCATTCACACACCTTTTTATATACAGGAGAACCTGTTCCTGGCCCTGCTACTCCTTCAGGGCCTTACCCTACAATTATAAATCGAAGTGAAGACAACAAACAAGTTCTAGTGGTGCAAGCTTCTTGTTATTCCAGATACCTCGGAAATATAACTGTAAATTATGACGAAAATGGTAATTGTATTGGTTGGAGTGGGCAACCAATATTTTTAGATACGGACACACCTCAAGGTACATACACATAAATAAAAAAAATGTCCTAATTGATCAAATTTAGATGAAATAATTAATGAAAAAATGCAACCTTGGAAAGATGCAGTGAATGGAATAGGAGATACAGTTCTTGGACAATCTTTGGTAACACTAGATCAAACAACGTGTAGACAATCTGAATGTTTGCTTGGTAATTTTGTGACCGATGTTATGGTTTATAGTGTAAGTCGATATTTTTTTACATAAATTGTGATTTTTATAAAAACTTGTAGTATATAGCATTGGCTGAAAACGCGTCTTACTGGACTTACGCTTCTTTAGCAGTTTTCAACGTTGGAGGTTTGAGAACTACAATAGAACGTGGAGGTATAAATAGTGACAACGATTTTAAAATATTGTTTTGCGTTAATGACTACTCTAGATATAACTTATAACGACATGATGACAGCCCAACCGTTCGAAAACACGTTCGATGTTGGCGAAATTACAGGAAAATATATAAAAGAGATGTTTGAGTTTAGCATGACTCCATACAATTACGGTCGAGCTTACATTGACGTAAATTTGTTACAAGTTTCAGGTACCTAATCAAAATTACATTATGTGATATAAAAATCATAATGTTTTAGGTTTCCAAATTGTTGCAAATTTATCAAAACCTATCGGTTCCAGGATTGAATCAATCAAAGTTCGTTGCAACGAATGCAACATTCCGATTTATGAAGACTTGGATTTGAGTAAAACTTACAGATTAATTGTGCCAGTTTTTTTGAGAAATGGGGGAGATGGTTTCACCGTAATTCGAGATAATTTGAAAAATGTTAAAGTCGGTAGGGTAGACATCGATGTTTTTGTTGAGTACTTAGGGGCGAAATCACCAGTGTTTGAAGAAATTGATGGAAGAATCGAGTTCGTTGGTGACACGATGATTAATTTCAGAAATTTATATAACTGATTACTTTTTCTTTTTGTTTCAAACAAGAGTGAAATAAAGGTTATATTGACTTTATTTATATATTTTGTTATACAATGTTAAAAACAAAATGAGGAGAACTGCAATTATGTAGTACTAAAAACAATTAATATTTACGTTTTCATGTTGTCATTTAGTCTTTAATGAATATCACCTATTATTTTTTTTATTTTTCTATAAATATACTAAACGATAACCCTTATCAATTTATCAATACTTACACTTGAATACTTTAAGACATATTTGAAATATCGATGGCCACTCAACGTTGGAATAAATAAGGATGTATTAATTCTTAATTTGACTCTTGAACGTATCAATGAATTTCCAGAATTAAAGATTTCGATGTATTTGTTATATGTTCTAATTACGTTATAAGTGAATAATCTTCCTTCTCCTTAGGTAGAAAGGTCTCGATGTTAAGAATAAGCGATAAGTTAAAACAGACAAATGACGTAATAAAAGTTTATCAATTTTTAACCATTCCAGGTCTTTAATTTTTTGTGATTCATGATCGTGTTTCTTTAAACCAAAAATAAAACGGCCGCAATTGTTTTTAATTTTTTGCAGACGATATTTGTTAAAACTGTCTAAGCAAGGATAGTAAATAATGAGTCCATAATTTAAAAGAAAGCACAAGGGTTTCACAATGTTTTTTCCAAAGTTTAAAATTTAAGATATTATAATTGGAATACAGAAGTTTAAGAGCGACATAACATTTTTAATAACAGATGATACATAATTAGTAAATCTTAAATCTTTATCAATTATCAATCCAAGACATTTGGTAGACTGCACAATGAGAAGACTTTTATTATCAATTTTCACATTTAAATTCTGAATCACTGAATCATAGGTACGTTTATTTGGCAAACAGAGTAGAACCTTACATTTATCAGAATTTAATTTTAAGTTCATTTTACGTGCAGAATTAGTAATAGATTCCAGATCCTTACTCATGGCATCTAAACAGCATATCTCGAGAACGATAAAAGCTAGAAACTTGAAATTTGGTATGTAAGTTACTTGTAGGAAGGGAACGCAGCACGAAACAATTGGTAAAAATCGATCGCACTGTTTGGTCGCAAAGACCAAAAATCGGTCGTAAAGCGGTCGCAAAATTATACGGTTGAATTCATGAGGATAAAAATTATTATCATGTACCTTATTAAACAGGAAAATGTGATAAAATAAAAATAACTAAAAAAACTAAAAAAATGCACCCTCCTTAACCCTCAATAAAGCTTTGCATACGTCAATCCCAAATATTCCTGATGTTTACGACTATATATAGATACGAGTATGACGATATGAGTGTCTAATACCGATTTAAATAATGCATACGAGTACATATCCATATTCAAGTAAGTTTTTACCATACAATTTAACTTACTATTGTCACAAGACACCGAATCCTTCTGATGAGTTGTTATCTTATTCGCATTTTTATTATTTTATTGTGTTGCTTACAGTGTGCCGTTTAAAGAACATATTAATTCTTAAAATAACCATGAGACTTTTTATTTGTGCTACTTTAGTATTGTTAGTTGTTAATGGATTTCCGCCTAAAAAAACTGAATTGATAGAATTGTCCGTCATTCATATAAATGATTTTCATGCAAGGTGAGTCATCCCAAATGAAAATTTAAAAATTTATTCCAAAGGTTGTAGGTATGAGGAAACAAACCTTGATTCCGGGTTATGTAAAACCTTAAATTGTATTGGTGGATTTTCGCGTCTTTTTGCAAGCGTAATGAAAATTCTCCAAGACAAACCTCAATCGATTTTACTCAATGCGGGAGACAATTTTGAAGGTACTTTGTGGTACGATGTGCATAAATGGAACGTTACTCAGTATTTCTTCAACAAACTACCAACAGATGCATTTGTAATCAACAAAAGTACTGCAAAACTCCAGGAATAAAAGATATGTTTACAGACATTAGGCAATCACGAATTTGAGGATAAAATCGCAGGATTAGTACCGTTTCTAGAACATCTCAAAGCTCCAGTCGTTGTGTCAAATATTGATGCAAGTGGGGAACCGTCAATTCAGAATTTATTTAATAAAAGTGTTGTTATAGAAAGGCATGGGTTAAAAATTGGCATAATTGGAGTAATTTTATCAACAATAAATGTGAGCAAAGTTATAGTTCAAAAACCAGAAATAACACAATATTTTAGGAAATTGCAGACATTGGTAATTTAATTTTACTAAACGAATCTGAATCTGTAAATAAAGAAGCTGAAAGATTAGTTAAAGAAGAGGGAGTGTTTACAAATATTGTTCTGTCACACTGTGGCTACGACGTAGAGAAGGCAATCGCAGCAAATTCTACTTCAAAAATTTCCCTAGTTGTGGGAGGTCACACTCACAGTTTCCTCTACACCGGGGGTATTAAATTAATCGTCTTGGAACAAAATGTAAATTAAAAATTGTAGATCCAGTACCTGGAACAGACATACCAGTGGGCCCATACCCCACAGTTGTCGAAAATAATGAAGGAAAAAAAGTCCTAGTAGTCCAAGCGTCTTCTTACACAAAATATCTAGGAAACATTAGAGTTTCTTATAATCAAAAAGGAGAAGTGGTGAATTGGACCGGAGCTCCTCTATTTATGGACAACAATCTGCCTCAAGGTTTTTACAAAGTGTAAGAGTTTATCCGAATATTTTCTTACTCTTGTAATAGATAAAAAAATAAATGAGGAATTACAACCGTGGAAAAAGAAAGTGGATGAAAATGAAAGCAACAGAATTATTGGTCGTACAATGGTTCGATTGGAACAAAGTTCGTGTCCAATGGCGGAATGTCTAATGGGAAATTTCATAACAGATGCTATGGTTTTTGCGGTTTGTTACCACAAACAAATCAATAAAATAACCATAAAAATGTATTGTAGTATTTAGACTCTCCGGAACCTGGTACTTGGACAAATGCATCAATAGCAATGATGCATGCTGGTGGTTTAAGGTCCGGTATTGATGTCGGGGGTAAGTAAAAATAATTCACATTACAACAAAAAAAAATCTAATCAGATATAAATTACTTCGAGGCTGTGAGTGTGGCACCTTTCAACAATACGATTGATCTTGGTGAAATTCAAGGAAAACATTTGAAGGAAATCTTAGAATCTTCAACTACCGACGATGGTATCACACTTTTGCAAGTGGCGGGTATGCGAAATGTCACGTTCATATCAAGAAATAACACTATTTTAAGGTCTCAGAGTAGTATACAACCTAACAATGCCCGAAGGTTCACGAGTAACATCTCTTCAAATCCGTTGTCGAAACTGTACAGTTCCTATTTATGAAAATTTAGACAATGAAAGAATATACCGGGTCGTCTTGCCATCGTTTTTAGCAGAAGGTGGTTTTGGCTTCACTTTATTCAAAAAGTACTTCAAATATCGACAAATAGGAGGTTTAGATAGAGAATTGTTTGTGAAATACGTCGAGTGTAAATCCCCCATCTTCCAAGAGATTGAAGGACGAATTATAATAAACCGATAGTGCGTTCTGATTCGTTTAACGGATTGTTTTATCGTGTTGAAAGTTGTGTTAATTACTCAATAAATTCGCAATGCATAAAATAAATGTTTTTATTTTAATTTTGAAAATAGTCGTTTGTGCAAATTTTAATTTAACAATAATTCATTTCAACGACTTTCACGCCAGGTAAGTACGAATTTTGGTTTTTAATTTTAATATTTAAATGTTCAGATACGAACCCATTGATAATTTATCAACAACTTGTGAAGGTGAAACTTGTATTGGAGGTTTCTCAAGACTGTATTCAAAAATCATACAATTAAAAAATGAAATGCCAAACTCACTTTTACTAAATGCCGGGGATAATTTCCAGGGGACTTTGTGGTACATTGTGCATAAATGGAATGTTACCCAACACTTTTTAAATAAACTACCGTTTGATGCAATTGTATTTCAATTATTTATTTATGAAATAGAAACACTTTTGCTGATTTTAGACCCTTGGAAATCACGAATTTGACGACGGAATTGCCGGTTTGGTACCCTACTTAAATCACATCAAAGCACCAGTTGTCGTATGTAATATTGATGATAGTAATGAACCTAGCTATCAAAATTTGACCAGGAAGAGTGTAATTGTTGAAAAAGATGGCAAAAAAATTGGAATTATTGGAGTCCTTGTTTCTTCAACTAATGTACACATTCTTTAACATTTTTGCAATTAACTCAAATCAAATTTTAGCTGACATCTCGTACCGAAAATTTGATATTTCAAGATGAATCAGAATCTGTAAATACTGAAGCAAAAAAATTACAAAATCTTGGTGTTTTCACGATTATTGTTCTCTCACATTGTGGTTACGAAGCAGATTTGGAAATTGCCCAAAAATCCAATTCCAAGATTAGTGTTATAGTTGGGGGGCATACTGATACTTTTCTTTACAGTGGAAGTAAATTTTTGCACTAATGAATATGAGTAATTTTATTTTGGTGAAAAATTCCAGCTCCAGTTCCTGGTCCAGATAAACCATCAGGACCTTACCCTACTCCTGTTTTAAACAGGAATGGTGATACAGTTCTGGTTGTACAAGCATCTGCATACACTAAATATCTTGGTGATCTTAACGTGATTTATGACGAGTTTGCTAATGTAACAGGTTGGGGCGGGAACCCAGTATTTTTAGGACCACAAATATCTTCAGGTATATTTAATTCTGGCAAAAAATGTAATGTATTTTTAAATTTTATTATAGATGCTGAGATTGATGCGGATTTGGCAGTTTGGAAAAAAGATGTAGACTCAGAAGGTAAGAAAGTTGTAGGAAACTCTAAATACGCTATGAGAAATAAGCCATGTCGGTCAGAAGAATGTCCTCTTGGAAATTTTGCAACAGATGCAATGGTTGAAAATGTATTACAGAAAATGTAAAAATATTTTTTTCTTTATGTTTTATATTTCTAGTATAAAAATATGACACAAAAAAACGCGTGGAATTTTGCCACAGTCGCCATGATTCATGCTGGAGGAATGAGAGCCGGTATTGAAACAGGAAGTAAAAAATAATTCTAATAAATAATATTAGAACAATTGTGCCACATTTTTACAGATATTACGTTCAATCAATTAATAACAACATTTCCGTTTCAAGACACAATCAACATATGTGAAATAAAAGGAGAACATTTGGTCAAAATTTTGGAAAGTTGTGTTGATGATAATCATTTGAAGTGGCCCCATTTGTTTCAAGTATCTGGTATGTAATAAAGTGCTTATTTAATGAACTAATTTTTTGATTAGGTTTAAAAATCGTGTTCAACGTTAGTAATCCTGAAGGTGGAAGAGTTCAATCGATAAAAATTCGTTGCAAAGAATGTATCGAACCTATTTATGAAGATCTCGTTTTAGAAGCATACTATCGCGTTTTATTGCCAACTTTTTTAACTGATACCGATTTTAATCCATTATTTAAAAAGTACATTAAAAATAAAATAATTGGTGATCGAGACTCAGATGTTTATGTGAGGTACTTGGAAAATAATTTTCCACTATCGGCAAAAGTAGAAGATAGGATTAAAATTGTATCTAGAGAAAGAATATAATGTATTGATATTTTGTTTTTTTAATTGTATTCGTAAAAATCAATAAATAAGAAACACTTAAAAATATATATGACTTTTTTCCAATTTATTTTTAACCACTTTTGAAATCCTTGACGCGCATATGATGGTATTTGCTATGAAGTCTTTTGGGTTGATCAAATAATACTTTTTTAATATTTTGAAAAGGCATTTCAATAAAAAGAACAAGCAAAAGAGAACAAACTATGATAACAACAGTTTCCACAATCTCCAACTAAAAGACAACATATTTAAAATATTGAATAATTAAATTGAAACTTACTTGTAAATATGTACGGTATTCATCAACATGTTTCGTCTGTCCTACGTTATAGAAAAAAATTGGAAATTGAACCAAATACAAAGCGTAAGCTAGTTTTGTTGAAATTTGAAAATATTTCCAATTTAACAATTTTCCCAACCAGCCTAAAAAATAATTTCATATAAATTTTGATTGCATCTTATTACAACCTGCAATATTTTTATTTGTGGCATAAATTCCAAATGCCACGCTAGAGCCCCAGAAAATTGGGTATAAAGCAAGAATATAGGAGGCTTCTAATTTATCGTACACATAATCTTTTGTTACCATATGGTACGGTCCTAACCAAGTACCCAGAAACATTGGTAGGAAAAAACACCACAAAAGTGCAACTTGCCACTACAAAATTTCATAAAAAAATTTTTACTTAATAAAATCTAACACTACCTTAGTAAATGATGTAGTTGGTTTAGAGAATTTTAATATGTATGCTAAATAAACACCTATTAAATAAATAGTTGCTCGATGAGTTGGTAAAATGTATGATAAAGTAGCCACTGAAAACATTTTTGAAACTCTGAAATAAAAGCAAATTACAAATTAAATTTTACATAAACACAAATTTCAGTACGATATGCCAAAGTAAATAACGCTCGTCAATTCATTTTCATACGAAACCCAAAATCTAAGAATCGTTGAAAGTAGAGCTACAACTCCCATCAAAAATAATCCAATTCCTTTAAATGTCCAGATTAAGTAAATAAAAATTGGTGTAACTAGAAACAGTTGCATATCAATGCCTAACTGGTGAGTGTGAGTTAAACACTAAAATTTATTATTATTAATTAAATAATTACTTTATACTTGTTTACCATATTTTCAAATCCAAAATAATTATGGATGAAAAAAATATTTTTCCACATGTGCTGTTTGCATAATGTTGAATGGTGATCGACAACTACAGGCCATAATGGTCCAGACCCCAGCAGTGGTAAAATATACGTGCAAAATAGAATTAGGGCAATTACGTTCGGAAGAATTCTATAAAACAAAAAGCAATTAAATCGAAACTCCCGCAAGTGTGCTAGAGATTTTCGCCAACATGGATTGGTACTGGTTACGTTGGCAGAACGTTTATTTTGACAAGCGTGTGGCTGTCAACAAGCGTGCGCGCGGTGTGGCCTGTGTTAAAAGTTTTATTATCAAAATAACTCGAAGATATCTTTATAAAGTTCTATTTGGGTTTGTTACTTTTTAGGTGTATATTTTACAATGCCCCCGACGATACAAAATGGAACTACATCACAAGAAAAACGGCCTGTTAAACCAGCAGAAAAAAAGTAAATATATGCATAAATTTAATAAAATTGTTAGAAATTCTTTTATTTCAGATCCGACTTGATATGCAGAGTGAAATATTGCAATACATTACCTGATATACCTTTTGATTTGAAATTTATATCATACCCATTTGACTCATCAAGGTAAAATTAAAAACATGTGTGGATGCCATAACTAATTTGTTATTTTAGATTTATACAATTTAATCCCACGTCGTTAGAGCGGAATTATCGCTATGAAGTATTAACTGAACATGATTTGGGTGTTGCCATTGATTTGATTAATAAAGATATTTATGCTGTTGAACCTGGTGCTATGCTTGATCCAGCTGATGAAAAACTTCTAGAAGAAGATATCTTAACACCACAAGATTCTAAAAGATCTAGACATCATGCAAGATCTGTGTCTTGGCTTCGCAGAACTGAGTACATTTCAACTGAACAGACAAGATTTCAACCACAAAGTATGGATAAAGTTGAAGCAAAGGTTGGCTACAGTATTAAGAAGAATTTGAAAAATGAAACGTTATACATGGACCGTGACTCACAAATCAAAGCCATTGAGAAAACATTCAGTGATTCATTGAATCCCATTGAGAAGCATTACAGCAAACCTAATGTGACTGCTGTTGAAGTATTACCAGTCTTTCCTGATTTCAATTTGTGGAAATATCCCTGTGCTCAAGTTATTTTTGATTCAGATCCGGCGCCTGTTGGTAAACAAGTGCCTGCGCAAATTGAAGAAATGTCACAAGCTATGATTAGGTAAAACATAAAATTCTGATTAGAGAACAATTGATCATTGTTTTTTCTTAGGGGTGTGATGGATGAACGTGGTGAACAATTCGTTGCCTATTTCTTACCAACTGAAGAAACCCTTGTTAAAAGAAGAGAAGACTTTGCTAATGAAATACCCTACCAAGATGATGAAGAATATGAGTATAAAATGGCAAGAGAGTACAACTGGAACGTGAAGAGTAAAGCAAGCAAAGGTTATGAAGAAAATTACTTCTTTGTGATCAGACAAGATGGTGCTTACTACAATGAATTAGAAACCCGTGTCAGACTGAGTAAACGTCGCCAGAAAGTTGGCCAACCTGCCAGCAATACTCGTCTTATTGTCAAACACAGACCAATGGATGCGAACGAATTCAGAATGCAAAGATATCGTGAAAAACAACTTGAACCGGCAGGCGAAGAAGACGAAGAAATGGAAATTGAACAAAATGAGGAACAACAAGAAGTTGAAAGTACTTTTGTACGATTATTGTTTAAAATTGTATTGATTTTATTTGTGATTTTCAGAAGAAAGCGACGCGGAATCGTCAAGATCGAAATCACCGTCACGTTCTAGGTCTCAGTCTAGATCTAGATCTCAGTCTAAATCTCCATCACGGTCTAGATCTAGATCCAAATCGCGGTCAAGATCTAGATCGAAATCTGCTTCTAGATCCAGATCACATTCACGCTCCGGTTCCGGATCACGTTCTCCTTCCAAATCGCCGTCTAGATCTAGATCCGGATCCAAATCACGTTCACCATCACGTTCTAGATCACGTTCAAAGTCTAGGAGTAAATCGCGCAGTAAATCACCTTCTAGATCCAGATCCGGGTCGCGTTCACGATCTGGGTCTCGCTCTAGATCAGAGTCCGGATCCGGATCTGGAGGCAAGTCGGATAGTGATTAAATACTTTCTTTTTGTACCGATATCATTTAGGGTTTTATTTATTAAGTGTCTTGTCATTGTTTATTAGATTTAGATGTAAATATAGTTTAATAAACAATACCTGAATATCCTGTTGATTATTTTTTCCTTGAATTTCATAGTACGTCCATTGTGTAAATCTTTTAATAAAGCGTTAGCGTTTAGTAATCCACTTATAAGCATGAAGACATCTGTATAAACAATTGCATTTTTTGCAATAATAGTCCAAGGTCGGCTCAATCTCTGTAAAAATAATAGATTAGAAAAAAGATTTTTTCATGTGTTTTATTTTACATCAACTGCAGCTGTTCGGTTCATAAATGGATTAAAAAATAGTGAAATACTTTTATGGGACATGAGTAGAGCTAAAGCATTCAAGAAGCGAATACCATGTAGGCCAGCTATTTCCTCGCCATCGTTCTCTTTCACTTCTAAAAATTTTGACACGTTTTGGCGCAATGAGAAACACATCAGTATTTTTAATAGTAAGACTGAAATAAATTTTATTGATACAAAATTATAGTAAACGCTAAAAAATTACCATTTGTGTGCGAATCGCCTTTGCCGTCTCTATAATAATCGAACAATGTTGAAGAAACAACTGCCAGAAGGACCAAAATAAAAAATAATCTGAAATAAAAAACCCAAAACGAACCTGACAACACTATTGAAGTTAATAACAGTATTATTGATCTCTATTTGTTAGACAAACAAATAAATTAAATTCATAACTACTGACACTCAAAATAATTAATTGTTTTTCTACATCTACAATGTGTTTCAGTTAACAAATTATACCTAGCAATGTAATCCCCTGTGGTGAAAATTTTATTTTCTTTCGTTGCTTTCTGACACATTCCCGGTCGAATTTGAGCTGAAACACCCAAATTTGCACTTAGCGACTTTTCTAAATCTTCTGCTGAACATTCTTGGGGTATACAAAATCCCCAACGGGCCATGGTAAAACCAGGTATTCTATGAGCAGGCTAAAAAACATTACCATTTCTTGAATAACAGCCACTAAATTGCTTACAGCATCAAATGTGTCCTTAAAAAAATTAAAAGATTGGACTAAATCCTTGTACTCGGATAATGATTCGTTCCACAGTGGATCAAAATCAATTTCAACGAGACAATATTGGGCCGTTTCCACTTCCATACATTCATTAAAATCGCCATATTGCACAATATTGCCATTCAAAATTCCTGACGGCACTTTGGCTGTGGCATCGAACACTAATCGCACATTTAAATAAGTAAGACACTTTTTACAATCTCTACTCACTTTTCAAAGCATTTAAGTTATTTTCATTTATCTCTTCGAGAAATGTTTCATACGCTTTTTGACACTCTGGTCGTAAAACATTGGTATTTAAGAATATTTGTGTGGACAATTCCCGCCATTGAGTGAACAATTTTGAATTGTTTAAAACAGTACTAGAAGTACAAGTGACACAAAGGACGCACAGGATACACAGTTTGAGCATTTTGGATAAAAATGAATGTTTTTGCAGAGTTTCATAGATTTATAAAGTCGGTTTCGAAACAAAGTGAAAATTGTCCCGTGACACTGACACGGTAATTATTCATTAATACTCAAGGGGTGAAAGGTTATTAGAACTCAAATATCAATTCGTCTGGATAAAATAATAATCCTCGTTACACCAACTTGTTAATTATAAAGCAATTACTTGTTATAGGTACAGTATTTGTATAATTTATTGATTACATTAGTATTATTCATATTAGTATTTGCTTTTTGACTTTTTTATGTTGTTTGAAAAAACAATAAAAGCAATAATAATTGTTATATGTAATTTTTTAAAAACACACTAGGTAATTAAATTTGATGAATTATTTATTATACATATAATTACACTCACCGGCATAAAATTCGATCCATACTTTATTTTCTCGATTTTTTTTCTTTTGGTAGAACTTTCAAACCGAAATAATAGTCCAGTCAGTAGGGAGTTTTGCCCTACAAAAGGTGGGGTAGTAGTAATTTTTTAACATATTGTTAAGTAAAGTAAAGGTACGAAAAATAGGTTTTTCCAAAATAACTCCACAGAGGTTGATTCTATGGCAAAAGTGTTCAGATAAAAGTTAAAAAAGACTAAACTCCTCACATTTTTTGTATCAACATTTTTTTTTGTAAGTCTAATGTGTAACGAGTTACAGCGGGGGAAATATGAGCATTTTATCCAAAAAATAGTAAAACTCCCCATTTTCGACGGTGAGTTTTGTAAGAACAAATTACACTTGCTTTTAATGTTTTTTCCGCACCACAATAATACAGCGATTTCTATTTTAAATTACACAGATTTTTCTTGTTACATATAGGGTTATTCATAAATAAGGCTCGGATTATATTTGTTATTATGAATTATATCAACAAAATTATTTATAAGTTTTCTATGCATATCTGATGTTTTTTGATTAAAATAGGCCAATTAAAAAATGCATATTTTGCATATTTTGGCAACTTCTTGCATATTTTAGGAAATATGGCATATTTGTGCATATTTTCCTCAAATCACAAACTTCTAATTAAAAATTTCAGTTCAAGTTAAAAATTAGAGAGTTTAAGAAAAAAGATCCGATTACAAAATATGTTAAAGAGAAAAATTGTTTAAACTTTTGCGATTACTATACTATTAATATTTTTTTCTTAAATAAAACGGCTTTTTATTTATTGTTTTACAAAGATATGTTCATGCATAAATATACAAAAATATTTATTCAAAATGTTCCAACTTATGTTAAAAAAAATATAAACTTTATCTATTGTCAAAACTTTATTCCACTGGCCAAGGGGTGGTACGTTTAAACAATTAATTAAAATAAAAAATATGTTGCCATCGCTTCTTTACAACCTTTAAATATTCATCAATTTATTTAAAAAAACAAAACAGGTAGTTTGTTTAAAAAAATTCTTTAATACTTGTAAGTCAAACATTTTTTATCAAAGAGTGTTAGGTTTACAAAAAAAAGTTTTACACAGCAACAATTCTTGTAACAAGCTCGTTGTCTAGAAAAAAAATTGTAGTAGGTTTCCATTAAAAAAAATTTTGAGTATGTTTATCTTATGTAACAAGAAAAATCAGTGTAATTTGAAATAGATATCGCTGTAGCTATAAAAACATTAAAAACAAGTGTAATTTGTTCTTACGAAATTTACCGTCAAAAATGGGGGAGGTTTACTATTTTCCTGGGAAAAATGTTCATCTTTCCGCCGCTGTAACTCGTTACACATTAGACTTACAAAAAAAATGTTGATACAGAAAATGTGAGGAATTTTGTCTTCTTTAACTTTTATCTGCGTAGAATCAATCGCTGCGGAGTTATTTTAGAAAAAACGATTTTTCATACCTTTCATTCAAGACGGCGGCTCGAGCGGTCCTCCCCCAAGGTCGAAAACTTGAATTTTTTGTCAAGACTTAGACCTTAACAACATATAAAAAAATTACTACCACCCCACCTTTTGTAGAGCAAAGGCTTTTTTTGGCCCCTACTGACTGGACTATAAGATATATTAATTTCTAACAATTTTTAAAACCAACAAACAAAAAAATGAGCCGGTGAGTGTATAACATCGACAACGAAAATGTCATAAAAAAGCATAAGTAACAAGACCAGTTGACCAAAATGAAAGAAAAAATGAACTCGTCGCATCTTCACAAAATGTACCAAAAGGTTGTTTTTTGGTGGATGCGCCGGTCTACTGGTTTCACAATCATATTAACAAAACTTGTTTTTTCCGCCTATTTCAACACAGAGTAAGTCGCAAGTAGAATAGTAATTAGTTCACCCATTATGAAATTAAACCATAAAATTCGAGTGCTATTTTATGGAGATGAAAATTCGGCTGCACAGTAAACAAGCTTTTGCGGCTCCAAGACGTCTGGCGTCTATTGAACTGCGTTTCCCGATTACTCCCAACACACTTAAACCAACGTCAAGTCGGGAATTTGGTTTATAAATCCAGTTGAAGTTTTAGAAATGACGGAGTATTTTCACTCGATATTTAATCTAAGAATCGGATGGTTTATTCTAGTCGTCATTAATTTCGTAAGTTACATTTCCAAAATTTTAATCAGTCTTAATCACAGTTAATTTAACAGATTTTTGGGATTTGTGGAATAGTCACCTGTACATTAAAACTAAAGCATGGAAGTGAACAAGCACGAGATGATTTTTTCAAACTTTCGATAGTGTTTGCAACTTGTAATCTGATCTTGAGTGTGTTGCTACTAGTGTCAGTAATTAAGGTAAAATCGTATTATTTAGTTTTAAAAACTGAATTCCAAGTTTCAGAATAACCAAAAATATGCATTTCTGTGTGCTTTTTTGAGCTTTTTGAGTTTGTTTTCGGCAGTGATTCATGTCGAAATTGGGACGACTTCTAATGTTACATTTATCATCGTTTTTGTAATTGTTGGTAAGTTGGCCATTAGACACTTTTTTAGTTATTATAATTTAGGATCGATTTTAGGAGCTTTGTTTTTATTTTGGTTTTGCATCTATGCGTCCTATCAAGTTCTTTACCAACGCAAACAAGAAATGGAACAAGCTTACATGTCCCCTATTTGGTATTTAATTTAACACTAAATTAAAAAATACTAATTAAATTTTTTAAGAATATTTGAGAAACGTGAGTCTATAATGAAGAATTCTGGTTATATGTAAATGTGAAAACAGGAAGGAGAAAAACTGGATGAAAGTACCTGAAATGAAACTGAAATAAAAATTTACTTACCTGTGTTGTTACTTCATTATTTCACAACATTATTAAAAGTAGTATTATTTAATAAAATGTATTTGTTTCAACGTCACAATAAATATAAAAATTACAAAATGTTACTTCGTGGCATTTAATTGGACACTTGATTGTGGCTCTGTTACACGACCAGCAAACAATACAAACCTTTGTTTCGCAACAATATAAAATAAAAATGGATGATCAACCTCAAAATTCTGAGGGACTCCAAAGTAACCAATTCTGTCGATACCTATAACTGAAGAATTCGCAAAATTAAAAAAATGTTCATTATTAGCATCCAAGCTAAAGTAAAGAAGAAAAAAGTAAAGTACTTTCCCACTTTATTTAACTGGCATCCTTTTAATTAAAACAAATTCGGTAAAACTTTGACATACAATTTCCAAATAAACATACAAAAATTTAAAATAATGATGACATTCAAAACTCGCTATTTTAGAATTGGGTTGGAAACTCGTCCTCCGAATAAAATGACATTTTTTGTGGTGATGTAATAAATGAAGGGATGATCAGCAACGAAGATTTTTGGGTCTACATTTGGCGTATTCTCGAGCGAAATTCGAACTGCCTGGACTGAAATCAAATCAAAATTTTGGACGATACATTTATTAAAAAATATGCCAGTTATTTTTAATCAGACAAGACAAGAAAAACAACAAAAGCTTGAAAATTTATTAAAAAGTCATACATAAAAAAATTATACAGCAAATAGTATGTTATGCGTTCAAGGCGTTATACTTTCCAGCAAATAACACAAAGTCGTTCAACTTCAAGTAGAAGAGGAATGGATGATTTGCTTTAAATTGCTTTACATTTCCATACTGAGGTGGCAGACTTAAAGTAACCACAATTGAAGCTAAAATATAATTCAAGTGTAAAAGCACAATGACGTACAAAGAGCAATACAAGACAATTGTCTACTTAAAATTAACTCGACCAGCAAAGAATATAACAGATTTAAGTTTCAAGTAAAAAATAAATGGCCTGTCAACTTCAATTGTATACTTTGGAGGCGCTGGGAGTGACTCAGTGCTAATAACTGCAAATAATATTAAATAGTCAATATCAACAAAACTTAATTAAAAACTTAATTAATCAAAAAATACTTTTGTTAAGTAGACAATACGTATTTACTACTACTAATTATCACATTAATCGCAAAAATTGCAAAGCTTTGTTACTGTTGTGGTGATACAACTCTACCAACGAGTAAAATTGTATTATTAGATTTTATGTAAAAAAGAAAAGGGTGGCGGGCAAAGAATGTATAAACCAATTTTCTAACCAAATGAATTCTCGATTCTAGGTATCCTAAAATTATAAAAACCAATTAGTCTTCGGATGGTTTGGTTATTAGGTTAGACATTACTTCGGCAAAAGCGTGCTTCTCAACCAAAACTTCACAAAACTTTAAATAATCAAAGGCCATTTTGATCAAACTCTCATACAAAGGTTGAGAAACTGAATACTATCTTTGTTAAAGTAGTGTGCTCTAACTAATATCAAAGATGTTTTTTATGTGAAATAATCAACTTCTAGAGAATTAATAAATGCTAAATTTTGTGGCGGTTAGGTGACATGAATACTCATTTGCTGTATAATTAGTAAATCGACTAATCAGGTTATAAAAATGAAGATTAATTATCTGATTCATGATCTATCAATATTAAAAAGTTAGTGGTTAGAAGTGTGAAACTGAAAATTAATTTTATTAATTTACTAGTTGCAAAGCATCTTTACATCTAAATAGAAAAGTTAGGTACAAGAAAACAAGAAAAATTGTAACAAACAAAGAAAGGATTCAAATTATGTAATTCCTCTCCGCAATTAAAATATTTTTCTTGTTTCGTCTCCCATTTATTAAGTTTGAATATCCTACCTGCAGTGGCCGCTGCAGCTTCCGTTCCCGTTTCCGTAACGTTGATAAAAGCCTTTTGAACAACATCGCTAATAGCAAGTTCACCTTTTTTGCCCGCAATTCCACTCAAATCGGCTTCGTCCGTGAAAGCTGTTTTAATCCCCAACTAAAAACCAAGTTTAGAGTTCTATAAACTAAAAAATTTAAGTCACTAACGTTTTGTAACATTTTCTTCAGTTGGACTTTATTTTCGATACTAAATTTGGGCAAAGACACACTGACACGTTCCTGGGTAAAATTGTGTGTAGTAAAAACTTTGTCCACTTGAGATTCCAAAAATCCAAGCCCGTCTTTTTCATTTGGAAGAACTATAACCATCGAAACGTCATCACCCAAGTAGGGCATTTCCAAAAATTTCGCCTTCAATTCGGGGCTTTCGTAATAATTGAACAATTCAGTGTTTTGCATTGTATCAACTTTGACGACATCTTTCGCAGTTCTGTAGAAATCCCGTTTCCTGGTAGCGTACGATTCGAAGGGGTAAACCCACTTTCCTTTGAAGTAGAGGGCGTTTATCAGAATAATTCTAGTATCTGAGTCTAGTGTATTAGGATCAATTAAATCGTGTATTTTATTATTGGTTTGTTTTTGAACCCAGCCGTTGATAGCTTCGGCTGCTTCCGTTTTTTGAGTAAAATCGATGTTTTCTATTCCTGCTTGATAGACGTTGGAAGCAACATTTTTGAAATCTTCTTTCACGGGGTAATCATTCTTCACGTAGATTTTGTTCGCTGTATGAAGAGCGTATTGTTCGTTTCCTTTCAAAGTGGGAAGTATTGCTGAATAAATTTCTTCAGTTTTTTCAGAAGTCTCTGGTAAATTCAGTTTATTGCGTATTTCAGTAGCTGTCGGGTCTTTGGCACCTGACTGTGTCAAGGCAAACACTGTTTGAATGGAAAATGGACTAATGAGGAAATTCCCCAAGTTTTCTTTTATCACTTCCTACAATAAAAAGTTTGGATTAACATCTGTTTTTTAAACTAAAAAATATACATATGTTTGTTATAACAAATACAAGTAATACAAATGTAACATAAATGTAATTATACATATATTGTTTACATTGGCTGGGGCGGAAATTTTAACATAAATGTAAAGTTACAAACATGCTTACGTTATATCACATGTTACATTTACATTTTACTTTTACTTTTACATTTACTTGTTACAATTTATAATCTTATGTCCTCGTTACATCACTGTTATATTTTAGTGTTTGCTGGAAAGGAAGCTGTATCCTAAATTGCAACTCTGGTTAATGTTATTTGTGGCTTTTATTGACAAAATTGTTGTACTTATATAAAACTTATATACTTATAAAAAACATATACAAGAGCATCAGTATCATTAATGCCCGGTTTCTAGAAGGATTTAGCATTAGATAAATTTTATCGGTTCGATAGTTACTAGAGTAGCACTGATCTGATTGGTGTTTCTATAGCAATAAAATTTATCTAACGAAATCGTTTCAGAAACCGACCCTAAATAAACATAAAAAAATGTTAAAAGTCAAAAAATAAATATTAAAATTTTTTGACAGATAGAATTTTTTAAACATTTTTTCCATGTTACTGGTATTTTATCTTACCTGAAATTTTTCTCTGGGGCGCGAGTTCTGACACACCCTATACAAATTTTAGACGCACTTTTTTTCAATAATTAGCAATATTGAAAGAAAAAATATAACAAGTGCATAGATAAAAAAATTAAAAAACAAAACATTCCAGAAAAAGAATTTTTAAAACAATGTGAACTACTTAGTATTAGCATAACTGGGTACGTAGTAAACAGTGGGTTGTTACAACAGAAATATTTGTGCAATGAATTGCAATGACCTTACTTTTTTATTTGTTGACCCAGTTTATTCAATTTTTTGATCAGAAATTGCCTCATCCAGGAAAACACCAAAAAAATCCGAGTTAAGAACGTCGAATAAAAATTATTAAAATTTTGTTTGAGTTGAGATTACTGATCCCAAGATAAAATTATAAAAAATATTTTCATTTAATAAATCAGACCCCAAATATGTAGATTTGTTTTGTTCAATTTTTAAATTATAACAAGAATCTTTCTTGTTTTTAGAAAACCGGTGAAGAAAATCGCGTAGTTTTATTAACACATAGGTACCTAAATAATGAACTATCAAAATGTTCTTTGAAAATATTGAAATAGAATAGTATGAGTATTTATTTTCCATTCAATATTTTTAATGTAGACACTTTTTTAACAAAGATGCCTTGTTATAAAAACGAGTGAAATGTAAAAATTTTAGAAAACAGCATTAAATTGTAACATTTGGCTTCGCCAATTCTGTTTCTCTGATAGTGTGCAAAAAAAATGTCTTTAAAGAAAACAAAGAAAAAATAAATATTACATGAACTATTTATGTAGAACGTTTAAATGATCCAATTTAAACAAGTATATTGTGTAATATTTTTGAATTTCAGTTTACTGAAAACTTTTCAAAAATTAGAAATTAGGGTTACATGATAATTTTAAATGATAAATGAGATAAGCAAGACATTTTGTCACAAATGCAATAATTTAGTAAAATGCAGTTTACTTCCTTTTTGTCCACATTTAATTAAAATAGTGGTCTAGGATGTTACCCAACAAACAACTCAGTAAAATCCCGTATAATCTCCTTTTTCCTTATTTAGTGCCCCGCCAAAATACTAATGTGTGCACATTAGTGATCAATTGGTTACTTTCTCTGTCGTGATTGGCTTAGAAATTACTTCAATGAAGGCACTAACGTATAAAATTCAGAATTTGCATTATTGAGTAGTTAGTTCTTTTCAAGTCACAAAGATTAAAATATGAACATTCCCCTCTTAGTTTTTTCCATAATATTCATCAAAATTACTGATTCTACAATTAAATTACAAGAACAGTTCAGTTGGTCTGCATTAGATTACAAGTACAAGGATGATTTTGAGAGGTCTAAAGCGATTAGGACTAAACGATTCGTTCCGGAAAATAATCTCCCAGTAGGAATTGAAGTTTGGAATGAGAAGCTTTTCGTAACAGTGCCTCGATGGAAAGTCGGTACGATTAATTTTCATAAATTTCTGTCTTTTATTTCATTGTTTTAACTACAGGTATCCCATCAACCCTCAATTACATCAACCTCGATCAAGCAAAAAACACAAAATCTCCCCTTTTGACCCCCTATCCCGACTGGGATTCCAACGAGTTCGCCAATTGTGAGTCTGGTCTAACAACGGTATACCGAATCAAAGCCGACGCTTGTGACAGACTTTGGGTCCTCGACACCGGCACTTTCGGTATCGGTAATACGACCCAAAACCCGTGTCCCTACGCCCTCAACATCTTCGATTTAACAACAAATAAGAGACTCAGACGCTACGAATTACGACCCGAAGACACCAACCCAAACACATTTATCGCTAATATAGCAGTAGACCTTGGAAGAACCTGCGAAGATGCCTTCGCCTACATGAGCGACGAACTCGGTTATGGCTTACTCGTGTATTCTTGGGAGGAAAATAAATCTTGGAGATTCACCAATGGGTTTTTCATGCCTGACCCACTGGCGGGGGATTTTAATATCGGAGGGTTGAACTTCCAGTGGGACACTGAGGGGATTTTTGGACTTGCCTTGTCGCCAGTGTTGACAACAGGGGAACGGATTTTGTATTTTAGTCCTCTGGCAAGCAATCGCGAGTTTGCAGTGTCAACAAGGATTTTGAGGAATAGTTCGAAGGTTGAGGAGAGTTATCACGATTTTGTGGCTTTGCCTGAGAGAGGACCCAACTCTCATGTAACCGCCAAAGTGATGAGTGAAGATGGAATTATGTTATTTAATTTAATTGATAGAAACGCAATTGGTTGTTGGAATAGTCGGACTTCTTACGGACCCACAAATATCGGAATTGTTGATTCGGACGAAAATGAGTTGCTTTTCCCCTCAGATATCAAAATTGATAATTATGGATACGTGTGGGTCATGTCTGATCGAATGTCAAATTTTCTCTTATCACAGCTGGATTATAACGATATCAATTTCCGAATATTTGTGGCTCCTTTGCAAGTCCTCGTTTCTGACACCGTTTGTGACATAAAAATCGCTCATTTCAAACACTTTGTAATTTGAAAATAAAAAATTACAACGGTGTAATGTGTCCTTGGTCACTGACCGTTCTTCAATTTGAATCAGAAGAGACAAGATTTTGGTTAAAAGATAAGTAAATGATTTATTTAACTCGGATAGCTAAACCAGTTTCGTGTTTGTATATAAATGAGAGTGTAATAGCTTACTCTGTAGATAGCTGCCGTAAACAAGTTGTTGCCAGTGGTGAATTCCTGCAAAGCAACTTCATTGGCCATGGTCAGAGTTAGAATCAACGCCAGTATTATTAAAAACTTCATTTTTCTGAAAAATCAAACGAGTCATTAGATGTAGGTAGGAACGTCATATCAAGGATAGCGATTATGCAAATTATTACTGGAAATAAAAGACAAAAAAATTGTATTACTGATGTACGAAGCATTCAAAATTATCAGTGAATTGAGCGATAAAAGTGTTAATTTATAGAGTTAACGGGTTTTGCGATATTTATAAGAAGTGACGACCTTCCTAGGAAAGAGTAAAAACCATTTCAAGAATTAAAAAAACATAAAATTCCAATAATATGTAAAGATATTATCATAACTCAACAATAATTAATATTGATTTAAAAAATTGAATAAATTTAGCCAATCATAAAGACAACAACTACGTTACAAAACTAGAATAAAAGATATAAATGAAAACAAACCTTGTTTAACTTATTTGCTTAAACGAACAACACTACCAATGATTCAAGCAGAGAATTCTCTTCATATTGGTCGTATCCCCACCTTTCCAAAGAGAAGATAAATTGTAAATGCATAAATACATGAAACGTTCTTAATTATCTTTTACTTCCACACATTTTTTGAAATTAAGTGTGGTGCTGTTTACAATTTTTTTTCTTAAATTCTCTGATTTCTAAGTCGCATACAAAGTTTACGATTTTAATGGCTATGAAAAAGGTGTGAAATTATAGTTTTCCGCCTACATTTTAATAGTGTGTACTCCTAAATTGCCTTGAGGAAAATTGACGGAAACGTATTATGTGAAGTGATTTATTGTTATGAGTTACAATGAATTTGCGGATTATTAAACTGAAGTTATACACAGAAAAAGTCAATTGAATCTCAACAAGTAATCAACCGAACTAACAGATTTTTGCATTTTCTGAAATAGGGAATTATCGAGTTATAAATTAAGTGAAGTTCCGAGGAAAAAATTTTGATATATTCAATTTTCATTAGGTGTCCATATATCCAGGTGTAAACAAAACCGACTCGTTTTTGCAATGTTGTTGGAAAAAAAGATTTCAAATGAATTTTGTAACTTGTAAGCAATAAAGTAACATAAACGAACTATGTTATCTCGCTCCTACTTTTAAAACAGACATACAGGGTGCACCAGAACTCGCGCCCCAGAGAAAATTTTCATGTAAGGTAAGATACCAAGCACATGAAAAAAATGTTTAAAATATTCTATCTGTCAAAAAATTTTGACATTTATTTTTAGACATTTAACGTTTTGTAATATTTATTTAATGATACCGATGATCTTGTATATGTTTTTTACAATTATTTAGTAAAGGGACAAAAATTTTGCCAATAAAAGCCACAAATAACATTGAACAGAGTTACAATTTAGGATACAGTTTCCTTGTTTCCTCTTTTAATAGCCTGTAGCAAAAAAACTTGAAAAATTATTTTTCCAATAGAAACAAAGTGCAAAATTTAAATTCTCATAACTTCGAAATTTTTATACAGGGCGATTCAGATAAGATAATGAGCCTGACGATCTGGAGATGGAACCCAAAAAACAAATTTCATTTACGCCTTTGATCCAATTTCAATTAGGATTTGCAAGTTGAATCCAAGTTATCATTTTGTGTCACTTTGACATCAGTACAGAAAACGATTATTAGTGCCATTCAGTTCTCGCGGAATGATAGAGAAATTAGAGAAGTCTTTTCGGTGTAAATCCAATACAAAATGTATGAAACAATGAAACATTAAAGGTAGGTAAACAGTTTTTTTTTATAAATCATAAATTGCTTGTCAAAGTACTATCAGAGCAACATAAGATAACTTGGATTGCAAATGCAAATCGTAATTAAAATTAGATCAAAACGTAAATGAAATTTGTTTTTTGGTTGCATCGCCAGATCGTAAGGCTCATTATCTTATCTGAATCGCCCTGTATTTAATTTTTTTTTAACATTTTTTCCATGTCCCCGGTATCTTACCTTATATGGCATTTTTCTCTGGGGCGCGAGTTCTGGCGCATCCTGTATACAAGAAAAAATATTTTTGGACCATATTTTTGTAATTATGTTTCAATACAATATTCAAAATTTTAATTCCCAAGAATCACCTAATAAACAGATTTCAAATCAATAGATCGTCACTCTTTTTCTTTCTGAAATTAATCACTGACTTAGTTCAAGGACTAGATATAAAATAAGTGGAAATAAAGTGATGTTCAACATTTTTAGGAAAAACCCAACTGCAATGCGATAATAATTTCGCGATACTTTTTTCACAACAAAAACAAAAAACCGTTCAAACATTTATTCAACTAGAATTACTTAACAATGGCAGTGACCTAACTTGAGCAATACAGAAACATACAATAAAAATCATTTTCCAATTCTTTCATTTATTAAGACGTTATAGCCAACTCGTGACGACGGGAAATTAGTATGTGGAATTTCATGTGTTGTCTTATATCTGAAAAAATTACAAATTACAAATTTTACTAGTTTATAATATAGTCTAGTACCTGCTCATTATATCACTAATCATGGGTTCCAATGAATCGAAACAAATGATATGAGATGGTAAAGTCCCGTTCGGGGGATAATTCTTTCGTAACCAAACACTAGGACTACTATAAAACTGGTCAGCTTCATCCACATAACTCTCACTAGTGTTAAAATTCGGTTCACACGTTAAAAATCTAGCAGTCACATTCACATGCAAATGGCTAAACAAAGGTGTAGAATGACAGGGCATTAAAAACAGTAAGTTGGTATTGTTCGGATTTTTAAGCGCTATCTCTCGTAAAGGCGTCATCACATCTAAAGTACCGCGTTGGTGGACATATCCCAAATAATACGAAGGACCCACATTTCCCATAAATAAAATTAACGCAACCGTCCACAGCATCACATTGCTAGCTTTGCGACTCCAAGCTGACAAAAATCTCGAAGATATAAATAATGCTATGGGTAGCAGAGGCAACAAAAATCTGAATTCTTTATGTGGCAAAAAACTGTATACACCAAGCGAAAAAACTATAGTACCAAGTAGGGCTAATTCATTGGGGTGTATACTGCGATTTTTTATTATGACAAGTGTGGCCATTACAAATGGCAAAAAGTGTATTCCGAGAATCGCAGGGAATCCTGCTGATAAGTACCAAAACCAGGGTTGCGATCCGTAATATGAACCCACATCTTGGAATATATTGAATTTGAGAAATTCGTACGGAGTCACAATGAAAGAACCGTGAGATAAACTATCCAAAAGAGTAGACGCGGCCAGTACTATAAGAGCGATCGGAATGTATCGAGTGATAATAAGAGACGAAATTTTATATTTTGTTATCAATAAATGATAGACGCAAAGTGGTGTCCATATTACAGCAGCAGTGGGTCGTATTACGGAAAGTGCGGCAACAATCCAAATAAATTTCAAATTTTCGTCTGCAAAAAATTAGTTTGTATCACTGTGTTTTAGTAATAAATAGCTACCTTTCCCTTTGCCCAGCCAAGGAAATTTGGAAAGTGCAATAGTACTTAAAGCATTTTCAAAAGTGTTAATCAAAGTCCTTGATCCTGTATAAAACCAAAACCAAGACGTTGTAATACTAAACACAGCCCATTTTTTAGCCCCACACCACTGATAAAAACACAAATCTGCATAAGCGCTCAAAAGTGCTTGTAAAATGCGTGGGCCATAGATCTAGAAATCGACAAAAATTAATATAAACATAAAAGAATTACATACTTACCAATACTAAAGGGTCATCTAATTGAAAATAGTTGAGTAAACTGTAAAAACAACTAAATATTAAAGGATAAATGTAGCTTCTGATTCCTGCACGCCACTCCCATGTGAGGTACCCATATCCAAAAGAAATACCATGAGCAACTTCCAGTGATTGCCAATATTCATCAGGTACGAAGAAAGTTTGTACAAGAAATACTGAAGCGAGTCTTACGATAAGAAAAATACAGAAAACGTCCCAATTCTTCATTTTTTAGTCAAGAGAATTTTTACAAAACGGTGAATGAGACACTGGATTTTAGGAGCACATTCTAATTCTAAAATGACGATATTTTTGTCTCCGCGTATTTTTACAAAAATAACATTTATAAATAACTTAGAAAATCACCTCCCGGTTTACTATTTAGGTTATGTTTGGGCTGGTTTGAGGTTAGATTAGATAAATCGATTTTATACATAATACGTTTTTTTTTAATATAGTATTACATCAAGCTTTGAAAAATAAGCTCTCTTTCATGCGTTAAAAATCTTATCAAAAGTTCGCTAACATTTTCATTGCTTCTGGCAACTTGCCGCCGTATTATTTGTTTGATTTCTTCTTTCGCCCCCTTGTCGGCCCCCCGCGTACCTATTCTCCTCTGTCTAGAATATTTTTTTTAATCAAGTATAAGTTTTATGTTAAAAATACCGACCCCATATGGGGAATTATATCCAAAGTTATTTGGCCCCCTTGATTGGTCCACAAGTAGGTTATTTCTTCCAATATATCCACATTAATTATATAATTCTAATAAATGAGATAAAATTATCAATACAATATTCATAAAAATATACTAACTTGAAACAAAATGTAATTAAAGGAACCGTGTTGTTGGATTTGTTCCATTAAAGGGGGCACAAACTCTTCCTCTTGAGGCCAATCTAACTGAACTAGAGTCAAAATGTGGCCAATAGCTAATTCGCTATAATTATGCTTGTCCATATTTTCCTAAAATATGTTTTTAGTCCACTATAAAAGCAATTAAATAAATCTACTTTAATGCATCTTAGGAGCAGTTTGATGAAATATTGAAGAACAGCAGTGTATGTTAGTGGCAAAAAATGTAAATGTCGTTGATTTCCACCCACTATTAAAACATTGCTTAAACTGCCAACATTATTGTTAGGTAGTAAAGGAATAGCCAATAAAATATGATCAAAACATGACTAAAAAATATTTAAGTTAAAAAAATAAACTGAACCTTTGTTCATACACACCCTGTAATTTTTCTTCAAATACAAAATTCCTGCAATATTAATATACTTGTTTAATAACAAATTGGTTTCGTTGATTTTTTGGAGGTATGTCAGGGCATCGTCATATTTTCCCTTATAAATTGCATAGTCGATCACAAAACTTGTAAACAATGATTCCAGTTTTAAATAACTATTCAACATGAAAAATTCTACACATGTGTAATTATTTTTAGTCGAAATTAAAAGATGTTTTACCTCTTTGAAAATGTTCAGAAGCCTGAAGTAAGTCCCAACAATTGACAGCCGTTAAAAAATTGCTATTAATATTTTTCAACTCAGACTTTTCCACCGAAATATATGGATACAAGAAGTCGTCATTTTTGCGTTTTTTACTTTTATGCTCAGTGGCAGGACTTGGCATGCTAGGGTCTGAACCACTTTATTCTAAATATATAAATAAAAAAAATATTTACCAAGAAAAGCTTCGACCAGAACAAAGGTATTTTGAGGTTGCCCTGGACTGGATTCAGGCGTGAGACTTACTGAGTATTCATGTAAACAATGAATGAAAAAAATCGACGAACAAAATAATAATTGCTTTTCATCGATGTTATTCGCCCTTGCCTGATAGTAACTGATAATTTTTTGCCAGTAGCTTTCCTTAGTCCTGTAATGTGATTATTTTTTTTATTTTTCTAATCGAAAAAAGAAACTAACCAATTATTGCTAAAATTAATAAGGTATGGTTCCCATTCCATTTGTTTTCCTATAAATTCGACAACAGCGAATAGTTTTTTCCAAGGGTCCTCGATTTTTGATTCTGAGTCTAATGAGACTGGATTGAGACTCAATGAACCGGAATAAAACTCCACGGATTTGTACAACAATTTTTGTAGTATTTTTGGAGACAAGTCAATTCTCGCGTTTTCACTCGCAAGCAGTGGTAGTAATTCGCAAACTAAAAGTTTTCTGTATGCATTGGAGGGATTAGTGCCATCATGGCTGTGCTTTTCTGCACTTAGAAGCGTGTCAACAAGCCGGGACTATAAAATAAAATGTTATGTTTTTTTTTCATAAAAATGTGTCAAATACCCCATAGCTTGAAATTGCAGTTGGAAATCTTTGTAGTAAGAGAAGGAGTAACCTGCAATGTTCCATTGTGTCCTCACAATGGTCTGCGGTACACAATAGTAACTTATGCTGAACATCTGAAGAAATATGTTTAAACATTTCACATAAAAATTGTTTTTCAGGATCATTGGTGTCGCTTTCAGCCCTAAGTGCAGAAGTAACATTCTCAATCTCTTTCCACAATTCTGGTTGTTGTTGAAATTTACCGATTCTACAAATTCACCCAAAATAAAAAAATTTCTATGCGCAATTACTTACAAATCACTGAAACATTTAGCAGCTTCTTTAACATGACCCGCGTTTTTCTCAATACAGTAAGCTTCAAACTATAATTTTCTGTTAGAAAGATGTTTAAATACGTATTGATTTTAAATACCTGAACACCAAAATTATTGGGATACAAAGTTTTTGCTGTTATCATCCAGGCTTTGGCCGATAAAGGGTCAGTTTTAAGGGCTGATTTTGCTCGTTGAATGACATAATCTTCGTCAGAAATATCTACTTCCATTGAAATTAAAGTGAAAAAAGCAAAAACATTCACTTTCTTGTATTGTTGTTATTTTTGTTCACTGTTTGTTAAAAGTTGGGTTAATAATGAGTACGCCATCTACTATAAAACCTACATAAAGAATCTACAGCAAGAAATACCGAATTCCTGCGTTCGCGAAACTTATATAAAACTTTAAAAAAAATGTGCTGATCTACTGATTTAATACATACAGGATGAATATAAAATATGGAACCAAGCGGTTTTATTTTTAATCATTTGCCTCCAGAAAATAACAATTAATATAAATTAAAGTTATATAAAAAATGTGATCGTATTTTCAGAACGTAATTTTGTTTTGTTTTTGAGTTATGCGATTTTTTTTCTCAAAATTGCAATTTATGTGAAAAATTTTTTTTTTTAATTAAATATAAAGCAGATAGTTGTAATGCTTAGAGTATAGCTTTTATGAGAAAAATGATTTTATAGTGGGTTGCCATTTAAAAAAATTATTTTTTTGTAGAATTCACAAACAAAAGGAAATTTCGAAAAATTTTATTCTTGTTAAATCATCACATTTTTATAGTACTTTATCACTCATCAACAAGTTTTTTCAAAAAATAAGTAGTTTAAGCAAAAAACGATTGGTTCCTTACTTTTTATTCACCTGGTATAAATAGTAGAAACAAGAACAATTTGAGAATTTTTTAATTTTTGAAACATTTTAAAATTAAATTTACAAAATATGCTGTTATACAAGTAATTGTAGGTACACCAAACAACAACAAAAAAGTAATCTCAGGATGTTTTACATAATTTTACAATCAATAATACATATTCGGATACGAACTCGATTACAAATTTTGAAAAATTGGATAATCTTTTCTAGTTTGTTCACCCTTTCAAAAATTACGTTTTTAGTTAGTCAGTGATTAAGATAGATAAACTAGAATCATATTTATGCCATCTTTTGATAGAACAAGTGATAATTGCTTCTAAAAATCTGCAGTTTATGACCATTAATGAAACAGTATTAGTTTGATAACTAGTATCATGGGTTTCCAAAAATTAAATAAATAAATGAGTATTTTTAGTCTCTGGTGTTTTGTGAGTTTTGTATATTTGGCTGCGTACATTAGGCTTAAGCTTCGTAAAGTTGTGTGAAACACCCTATATACTAAATCAACAGTAGTGTATTTACTATGTTTGAAAAATAAATTGTTTCTAAAATATGTACAAGACACTGAAATGTTAACTGAGCAGTTAGGAACTAATTCATATTAAAAAAATATGAAAATTATTTCCTATTTGGTAAACATTTTTATATTAATCAAATTGTGTAGAGCAAACTCAACTTAAAAATTATTTTTTTCTTTATGCAATTAAATAAAACATGTCTTTCATCAAATAGTTAATTAAAATTATTTTATTTTTTTGATATACTTAGGTACAGGATGTTTCTATGGTATTGTTATAGCGTTTAAGTAAATTAAAATATTGAATTGCTTTAGGAATGACAGTGCAGGTACATACCTAGATAGTGTATTCATTTTTACGTTACCTTTTTTAAATAACTTAGATTCTGTTAGCTCATAAAAACATATAATATTTATATAAGTAAAGGTATTATTGAAAAGTTGTGTATTTTTTAACCAAACATTTGTACTGTGATTCTCAATATGAATAAATAATGACGATAAATAAAGGTGCAGCTGGTTCGGTATTTATTTTATCATATCACATCAAGGTCACATATTTAAAAAAGTTTTAAAAATTGATAAAAAAAATATATATAAATTGCAAGTAGAAGTTTGCTAAATAATTTGAAAACTGACGTTAGAAATGTAGGAGAAACAAAGGTCAATTTCTTTTCAAAAAAATTAAGTAGGTACCTAATAAAAATGTATTTACAATATAAAGATTATTAATAAAGTAAAAATAATTATTACAATTGAAATAAAAAATACGAGTAAATTTTTTTTATTTAATTCAATAGTTAATCCGGTTCCGGACTTGATCTGTCCGGATCACCCGAAAAAACTTAAAATTAAATATGTGCAAATAAGTTTTATGTGGATAAACTACTAAAATTAATTTTTTAACACAAAAATAACTTTTTTAGTTTAAAAGTGGGTATATCGATTGTAAAATTTTTATTTTTATTCTTCGACAATTTTTTAGTTTAAAAGTGAGTATATCATTTGTCAAATTTTTATTTTTATTCTTCGACACTGTCAAAATTTACGGTTTTTCTCCCGTGTAAGGAAGTTTTGACAACTGTTCGGCATTTCTCAATACGAAACGTTAGATTATTTTTAACAGATTTGAAGCAAGTTTAAGCCTTATTGAGGCTAATTCGAAGAATAAAATGTTGTATTCAACTCGTTTGAGTGTAAATCGGACGCTTTATTCCACCTCGTGGATGATAAACCACTCGTTAACTCGTGGTTTAAAAATCCACTCAGTGAAATAATGCGTCCGATTTACACTCAAACTCGTAGAATAACTATAACTACAAGTTAATTTAGAGGATAAAAAAATTACATTTTTGTGATAATAATTTATACTTCCATATGTCAATACAGTTTTTGTTTTTGAAGCCCCATTTGTTTTATTTGACAAACATATGACATACAAACAACTACTATTTATTAAAAAATAATAATTATAATCATTAATTTCAATAACAAATGATTATTAAAGTAACAACAAAAACCCTCTTGGACTTGCATGCTGTTTAAGGGTAGTTTCATGTTGAATTATCAAAAATGCAATTAAGCAAATTCTCTAAAAACTTGTTGATTTTTAGAAACGAAAACAACTTCTTGCAAAATTCTTATCATAGTTACCTTATCATTACAAACACGAAACTTTTACTCAATGTAGATTTAAATATATAAATCACCTGAATATCATTTAGTTGTCGAAGATGTCTCTACAAGGTTGCTTGTTTAGTTTTTGTCTCGTGATTCTTTTAGTGAAATGTGAAAATACAGTAAATATATCATTTCTTATCCTATTTTGTATAACTTATTAAAAATAAATTTTTAGAACCGCACAACAATAGAAACCAAAAATGGTGTTCTGAGAGGTCGCGAAGTTAAAACAGTGGGTCTTAATCATATTTATTACGCTTATCAAGGCATACCATATGCAGAGCCACCCATTGGAAATCTGCGATTTGAAGTAAAACCCTCAATTACAAAATAGTTAAAAATAATTTAAAATTTTTTTAATAGCCACCTCTACCTAAAAAAAATTGGTCCGGAATTTTCGACGCCACTAAAGATGGAAATGTGTGTGTTCAAGGCAACCCCCCCATAGGTTCCGAGGATTGCCTCAACCTCAACGTTTACGTCCCTAAGGCACAAACCCAATATGTTTCAAACGAAAAATAATCCCAACTTTTTAGGTTTCCAAATATTACAAAGCATTGTTACCAACCATGGTGTTTATATACGGTGGCGGTTTTGAGGCCGGTTTTGCCACCTATGACCTCTATGGTCCCGACTACCTGCTGGAAAAGGTCGTCGTTGTGGTGACTCTTAATTACCGAACTGGAATTTTGGGGTTTTTAAGTACCGGAGATTTGGTGGTTCCCGGTAATAACGGATTAAAAGATCAAGTCATGGCCTTGAAATGGGTCAAGGAAAATATCGAATTTTTTGGCGGAGACCCAAACCAAGTGACTCTTTTTGGTCAAAGTGCCGGATCTGCTTCTGTTTCGTACCACATGCAATCGAAATTGTCTCGAGGTACAATAATTACTGATAAATTAATAAAAATAATAATGTGGGAGTGTAGGGCTTTTTCATAGAGCCATCCTGGAATCTGGTGTATCTCTGACTCCCTGGGCTTTTAGTCGGCGTGGCCCTGAAGTGGCAAAGAATGTAGCTAAGGATTTGTCTATAGATACGAGTAATTCGCAACAAATGGTGAATCAATTGAAAAGTGTGGATTATAAACTTTTGCAGGAAAAAGCTTCAGCAATCGTGGCTTTAGTAAGCTTCAAAATGTTGTTTATTTCAATTTATTTCTTTGTCATGTTTTTTAGGAATATTTGAAAAACGATCCAAGAAATGGTTTCATATTTGCTCCAGTTATCGAACCTCAAAACGAACACGCATTCTTAACACAAAAAAGTCACGAAATGTTATCTAATGGAGATTTTGCAAAAGTTCCATGTATTGTCGGCTTTAACTCACTGGAAGGCACTTTTAATTTTGGAAGTAATTGAATTATCTCATGAATTCACAAAATAAAATTTCCTCATTTTAGCACTATTTAAACTTTGGCTTTTGCGCTACGACTTCGATCACACAAAATTGTTACCAGTTGATTTAAACATAAAAAAAGAAAAGAAAGATAATGCTGCAGGGTACATAAAGAAACATTATTTCGGTAACGGTGTTATAGCATTTTCTGACAGGAAATTAATGAAGGTTTTATTTTAATTGAATTGATGGAATTTTTTTTAATTTAATTTTTAGTATTTAAGTGATGATTTGTTTGTTCGGCCAATTCGTGAATTTGTACGATTGATTTCACAGCACGTTTCTGTTTATTTTTACCAATTTACATATGAAGGCGGATTGTGGGGTTTTGCCAATAGAACGCAACATGGTAATTGATTTAAGCCGAAAACAATGCAGAATTGTCGCACTTTTGATTTTTAAGGAGTTACACATAGTGAGGAATTGGGTTATTTGTGGCGATCCAAGTTTAATCCCTCTGAAAAAGACTTAATTATAAGGAAAAATATGACTTCAATGTGGACAGATTTTGCAAAAACTGGGTATATATAATGTCTTTTTTATTTCTAGTTGTTATTATTACTTTTATAGAAATCCAACTCCAAAAAAATATTTTACTTCATCTAAAGTTATCTGGAAAACTACCGACTCCAATTTTACTTATTTGGATATCGGTGATGAACTATTATTAGGTCATCATCCTTCTAGAGCAAGTATGGATTTGTGGGATTTGATTTACAAACTTTTTGGAAATCCACCTTATGATACGTATTGATTTTTGTACAACTAAACTATTTAAAACACTGGAAATAATAGAGTGTGTAATAAAAAATCATTTTTTATGTTAGTATTTTTTTTTGTGAAAGTGGATATTTTCAAAATGATTAATTTCCTAAAAATTTATTTTGTGGTAAAAAAGCTTGATTGAATTGCTAATGTTAGTATGAAAATAATTTCAGGTAAGATAATAAGGGCGTGTTAATCTCCAGGTAATTATTGGAGCTGAAACTATCTATTATTACAGGTATTTATAGTGAGGAATAAGCTTATTTTTCTTAGAAAAAATTTCTAATAATTTTCTTAGAAGCAAACTTTTGATGTATAAATGAAATCATTTACAATTAATTCTAATCGAATTACAATTGTCTTGCTTTTTAAAAGTATAGCTAATATAACAACTTTTTTCATAATACTATTTTTTTGCAATGAATGTAAAAAACTAATTATTTTTCAAAATATTTTTTCATGATACAATAATGAAAATACTAGGCGTCGTTTAAATTTATTTTAATTCACAAATTAATTAAGAAAAAGTAAACTATAAATTATAATTTATCTTTCATAAAAGTAGACTAATTAATTTTGTTTCATTTTTGGGTTAAACCGCGTCAATTTATAAAGAAAGGTCAGTTTATAACGATCTTTCCTTATAATTTAACCCCAAAAGACCCACATTTCAGTTTGGATTGAAATCAGCGTAGGCAACAGTTCACTTTACTAGATTAATTAGAACCAAATTTTAAGGTCATAATTAAATTGATATTGCAACGTAATTGTAATTTGTTTAAATCTGAATTAAATGTATTTTCTTTGTTCTTTGTTTTTTTTTGTCACAACTGCTTGATCAACTGTGAAAAAGTGGGTTTTATAGCTGATTATAAACAATAATTATTAATTTTTAGTTAAGTTTAATTTGATACAAATATAAATTCTGAATAATTTTTGAACAGAATTCAGAATTTGCCATTTTTTTAATCTTAAAAAAAAAACAAGAAGAGCAATACTTTTGTTTAATTCTTTTAAATTTTAATTATTCATGTCTATATGTATAGTCAAATGGACCCATCCCGTTGTGGACCTATAGAATTGCCCCAAGCACCACTCCAGGCTATAATTTCAAAAGAATTTAAACCCCAAGGCAGTATCTTCTGTGCAGTGGTGTCAATTATTTTCACAAATATCAAAACAATTTACAATTGAACGTTTAACGAAAATTTAGCAAGTGCTTCAGAAAAAATGGAAAATCTCTGGCAAGGGAGTTGTCTCAGTTCAATTGAAGAAATTTTTGACCCTATAATAATCAGAAATGTTGTGGACTCTTTAGTCATGTCGCGATTTAATGCCCAAATCACAAAATCCCGTTCACGAAGATCTAGATTCACATCTTCAAGTTCAGAAGGAACTTTAAGTTTTGCAAGTCACGACAATATTTCTCATTGTGTTTCTATTGGGGTAAGTTGAATTAGTTTTAATTGCAATGATTATTATAATGTTTTTTGCACCATTCCGATGTCAGCATAAATACTTGTAATGTATCTGAATTAATCTCATACCCATACCTTTCCGATAATTTTTATATTTCGGACAGTCATTGTACTTATTATTACTCTATTAATTCAAGAATTGATTTACTAAGCACAAAAATATTTGTTTTAAATCAAAATAAGGAACAAATTTTGAAAGCAACTCACTATGACGATTTTTATAACAAAGCAAATTTAAGTAAAGAGAGACTTGAGGCTGAAAAGATACTTTTAATGAACGGTAAGTTGAACTAAATAAATTAATTTTTTAATGAGCTTAATATTTTTTTCAGATCTGGCAAGTGATTTGCTCACACGAGATGCCAAATGTTTATTTGAAGAGAAGAATGAGCTGTGTGCAGGAACAGTAAAATATCAGACAGTCATATTTGGTCTGATAATCAACAATTTGATCAGTTTTTCGTTTGTGTGGTAATTTGTGGGACAAAAATATTTGCTTCTAAAATATCGCAAAGAGAATCTAATGGTGTAGTTTATTTCAAAGACGAATTTTTTGTGACAGGGCTGCAACCAGATTTTAATATTAATATTAAAATATACACCGCATCTAAAAAGGTAAATATTTTTCTTTTTTTTTGTATTTATTTCAAATATAAAAAAATCGAAAAATTCGTTTCTATGTAATTTCGCCCCACGACCCGAAGATGACGTTCCCATACGTAAATCACTTTTCTCTTTATGGGGAGAGACCCACATACGTATGGAAGATCTTCCAAGATCAAACATGGAAGTACAAATTAATTCCGGAAGATTTACTGCCCACGTTTTCAGTTGTCTTAACTTAAATGTTTTTTGAATGTTATTCAGAGTCAGCAGTGTCCTTTGTGGAATAAGGAATGGTGTTGTTTGGAAGGAAGGTATTTACAACATTTTAATTATCCTCCTGAAGAATCCTACGATACTAAACCCCTAGGAGTTATTGATTTGGGCACTTGTATTGAAGTTAAACATCTTTCAAGAGAGGAGTGTCCTCGAAAGCAAAAACTTATTTTGATAAAACTGTTTTGTTATCATGTGATTCGAAAACCGAATTTGAATGTTGGAAAAATTCTATTAAGTGCAATCGAAATTTGGGAACATTGATCCTTGTTGTATATAATTGTATATTATTTATTTTATTACAAGTACTATCATTAAATATTTATATTAAAAAAATGTGTGTCATTTCTATAAACCAAATATCATATGAGTAACGATGAGTGATTATTGTTAAATAGATTGTCATTGTGTTATTGTGTATCATCACCTATGAGTAGTAATATTGAGAAATCCTAATCCAAGTTAAAATTTAATCATTCTTTGTTGTTTACTTCAGTGCCGCATTTCCTGTATTATACAGAGTGCGCCAGAACTCGCACCCTAGAGAAAAGTGCCATATAAGGTAAGATACCAGGAATATGGAAAAAATGTTAAAAAAATTTTATCTATAAAATTTTCGAAGGTATGAGAATTTAAATTATGCACTTTGACTCTATTTATTATTGCTATAGGCTATTAAAAGAGGAAACAAGGAAGCTGTATCCTAAATTGTAACTCTGTTCAATAAATTTTTGTACCTCTACTAAGTAATTGTAAAAAAAAACATATACAAGATCAACAGTGTCATTAAATAGACATAAAAAAATGTCAAATGTCAAAAAATAAATATCAATATTTTTTGACAGATAGAATTTTTTAAACATTTTTTTCATATTCCTGGTATCTTATCTTACTTTTCTCTGGGGCGCGAGTTCTGGCGCACCCTGTATTTAAAAAAAAATGGGTAATAGTGGAAATATTAAAAAAAAATGTAAACATATAGATTATATTGTTTTGAAAATTAATGGTTGTTTTTTTCTGCTTTTTTGGGTGATATATGGTACTCATAAAATTTTATAATGTTACAATAAAGCTAAGTCTCATTATTACTGGTGCTTCCGAAATTGTAAAAGCACGATTGTAAAATTTATGTTATTAACGATTAATTACTTACTAGGTTCCTATCTTTAACAATTAACAAATAAAAGCAAATCAAACTAACAGTAAATCTCTTTTGATCTAATTAATGTGTTGTAAAAGTTTTGAAAAACTTGTTAACTTTTCAGTTTTTATTGTCTTATAGGGGTATCTATTTTTTTAACTACCTATGTTTTGAAACATAATAAATTGTTTTTTATTTTTTTATTAGTTCTACTATTTATACACAAAGCTATATTAAATAAATTGTAGTTAAAATTTAAAATAACAAAGCATTTATCTAACAAATTATGATGTTTAAGCTTTTTGTATAGTTTACAACAACTTTTAAAACACGATATTATACCTAAGACAGCTAAGTGATAAAATGTTTTTATTTTTTTCTGGATTATTATAAGACATAAATATTTCAAAAATATATCATTGAAGTGACTTCAACAAGCAGTATTATAATTTAACAATACTTTTCTATCTAGGTAATTCCAATCAAACATCGTAAAATAATAAAAATAAGCAATGCAATGAAAATTTTACAACTTATTGGGTAATATAAAAACATATAATTCTTTGTTGGAGACGCATTTAGGTCAAAGTTCGTGAATTATTTGAAAAAATACTTGTATGCGAAATTAAAGGAATAGCTTTCTTTCTTCATGAGATGTGGAGGTTGCTTTTTGGAAACATATGTATTTCTTTGAAAAACATATTGTAAAGTCAAATTTTCTATTTGATTAAAAAAAATTCTAGTCATGGCGAATAAGAAGAAAATTCTTTAATCTATTTTATGACATTAGAAAGTCATAAATCCATTCTTCTTAAGAAATGTGTGGAAAAAATCTTATCAATCTTCTGCTATCTAATTCCTAATAAATCGTTCCTTTCTTATTTATATAAATACAAGCTCAACTTTACGTAGAGTAGCTTATTTAGTTGACAGCTCAGCAAACAAAATGTTAGCTCTAAGAAACGTATTTTCTCTTTCTCTTATTTGTGGACTAGCAACTTGTGCCACTTTGGTAATTATAAAAGTCGTCTGATTAAAAAATGTTAATCTAGAAACAGTTTCAAGATGGTCCAATAGTACAACTAGCAAATGGTAAAGTGAAAGGAAGAGTAGATGCAACAGTGGAAGAAGGTCGAACCTATTATTCTTTTAGAGGAATTCCTTTTGCTGAGCCTCCTACTGGTGATCTTAGATTTGAAGTAATAATTTTTCTACTGTTTTTTCTTTTAAAAAATGATCAAATGTTTGTAGCCACCAGTCCCTAAAAGCAATTGGGAAGGAGTTTGGGATGCCACTAACGACAGATCAGATTGCGTTCAAGGTTCAAATCCTGTGATGGGTTCTGAAGATTGTCTCTTTATAAATGTTTACACACCAATGGTAAATAATTTAATATTTTCTACTAAAAAACTAAATTGACAATTGAAGCAACCATCATCTTCATGTGAACTTCTCCCTACCATGGTCTGGATTTATGGTGGTGGTTTTGAAGGAGGTACCTCCTCTTATAACATATATGGTCCTGATTATCTCCTTGAAAAAGACGTGGTTGTGGTTACTTTCAACTACCGTTTAGGAATTCTGGGATTTCTGAGTACTGGGGATGAAGTAGCTCCTGGAAATAATGGTCTAAAAGACCAAGTTTTGGCCCTCAAATGGGTGAGAGATAATATAAAGAACTTTTGCGGAAATCCTGAACAAATCACTCTTGCTGGTCAAAGTGCCGGATCTGCTTCCGTGGCCTATCATCTCCAATCGCCACTATCTGAAGGTGATTATTTTATTTTTATAACTGACAAAAAAATGTCTTTTGTAGGACTTTTCCATAGGGCTATATTACAGTCAGGTGTGTCTCTAAGTTTGTGGAGTTACAGTCGACGAGTTCCACAGGTGGTAGACCAATTAGCTCAAGATTTAGGTATCGATAATTCATCAAGTCGCGCTATCGTCGACAATTTGAAACAAATCAACACTACACATCTCCAAACTATAGCATCTTCGACTATATCCAATGTAAGCTAAAATTGTATTATTGTTAATTTTTAAGCCAAAATTTTAGGCTTTGATTTCAAGCAATCCCCGAGATGGATTTGCAGTAGGCCCCGTAAGTGAACATGACCATCCTGATGCATTCTTTTCTGGAAAAAGCCACGAATTATTGTCTAACAAAAAATTCCATAAAGTGCCTGTGGTTATAGGCTTCAATTCATTGGAAGGAACATTTAATTTTGAACGTATTGGTTGAATGTTTTTTTAATTTTATCTCACAAAAATTTTCAGTTCTTTTCCGTTTGTATCTAGTAAAATTTGACCTTGACAATACAAAATTGTTGCCAATTGACATGAATATTGATAGCAGTAAACTTACAGAAGCTGGCAAAAAAATAAAGCAATATTACTTCGGTTGGAAGCCTGTTAGTCTTGCCAATGTGGAATTGATGAAAGTATTTTTATTAATTGATTACAATTCTGGAGTTAATATGTGTAATTCCAGTTCCTTAGCGATGACCAATTTGCGCGATCAATTAGAGAATTTGGTCGACTTCTAAAAGACGAAGTCCCTGTATATTTCTACAGATTTTCATACGAGGGAGGTTTGTGGGGTCATCACAACAGAACTGTCTCAGGTACTTGAATTAATCAACCAAAAATAAAATTTCATGTTTGTGTAAATTAGGTGTAACTCATAGCGAAGAATTGGGTTATTACTGGGTTTCTAATCATCAACCAGCATCTGATCATGATTTTGTTATACGAACTAGAATGCTAACATTGTGGACCAACTTTATTAAACATGGGTAAGTTTTTAATTATAAATAATTGAAGCAAATTTGATAATATTTTTGCTAGAAATCCTACTCCCAATCCAGACGCTGTATTGCAAAATATTATTTGGAAAACTTTTAATGAAAGTTTGTCTTATGTGGATATTGGACAACATTTGGTTGTTAGTGAATATCCAGAAAAAGATAATATGGAATTCTGGGACAGCTTTTATGCTCAGTATGGAAATCCGCCTTATACTACTTATTAATTTTTCCAAGTGGATGGTCTTTGTTTAAAAGTCACAATTCTAATAAAAATAAATAAATAAATGATTTTCAAGTCTCACATCCTGTTTGACATTCCCTATTAAAAATAGTCTTACACAATTGCAATTAATAGCTTAAAGAGATTATTACAACATTTATAATGTACATAAAATTTATTTGTAGTAATAAAGCATTTAAAAAATTGATTTTAGTAACGACAAATGAAGCCTTCTATAATTAGTATTAAAAAAATACAAGAAAATTATAGATAGATTTAATAATAATTTTTTAAAACTCTTTTAAAATTATATTATTTGTACACATAAGTTCCATTTTGATGAAAAGAAACAAAAATGTACGTAAACTTTGCTGTTTTTGTACTAAGTACTTGGTGTCGTCAGATTTTTTAAAAGTCTAAAATATTCTTTTTATTGTAAATTTTATTTTATCCACACATTACAAGTTATTCTTATGTTTATTATAAACAAATATCAAAACGTATCATAAAGCCAAATTGACCATAAACGCTTTCTTATCCATTAAAACTTTTATTTTTGAGACAATTTTGAATTTCTCTCAGCTTTGTTGCGAGCACAGCCGATTTGAAGAAAAGGCTGCAAGTTGGCATGCATGAGAGGTATTTTGCAGACTATTACCTACTCAAACAAAATTTACAAAAACAATGTTTTTATTGTGAGAAATTAAAAAAAAATATTTGTCAATCAAATCTTCCAAATTTCTGAGATTCATCCAATCAGGTTCGCGGTAATTTAGCATACGGGCAAATTATCGATAATTTGCACACGTGCTGAATTATCGTGTAATTTGAACTTGATTTGATGAATCTCAGAAATTTAAAAGATTTGATTGGCTTAAATTTTGTGAGGGAAATTTTGTAATCAATCAATTAATCAATAAATTTTTCTGTAACTGTGGAAATGACTAAAATATTTTTTTTTTGGTTAATGAACAATCATGGAACAATTATTCAATGACAGGTAAATGAAATAATCAATTTCCTTTCAGTAAAAGAAATGATTTTGTGCTCTATTTAAAAGGTTTTCAATAGTTCATGAAGCTGTCAATATTTGCAAAATCATGATCATAAAATTATTATTGTTATTTGATAAAAAAATCCACCACTCAAACAACTGTAATGTTATCTAAAGTTCTAAAGATAAAATTTTTAAGGTCAATACTCAAGAATTAGAACACCTTTATTAACCCTTAAAATGTATCAAAATCATTATAGTTCAACATGGCGTAGAGTTCAATCCATCTATGATAAGTATCTATTTTAGGATGATTCTTAATTTCCAAAGTCGTGCCAATATCTAGATATAAGAAGTCACCCACACCTTCCGATGACACAATCGGCCAAGTAATATTTTGTAAAAGATCATTTGTATCAGGGGTAGGATTTCTACAAAATTCAGTTAGCAAAATTTAAGACAATCTTTTTACCTACAAATATTTAACAAAATTAGTCCAAAGTGTCAGCATTCTGTGTTGGGTCAGTACATCCTCTGGAGGAAATTTACTCAAATCTGAGTTATCATATCCGTCTCGAGTGGTTCGCCATATGTAGCGAAGTTCTTCAGCATGTGCAACGTGTTCAGCACCTAAGAAATACTTAAAAAAAATAGACCTAAGTAGAATTTTTACCTTCGATGCTTATAGTAACGTTCCCCATAATCCCATCGTAAGAGAATTGATAAAAATAAACGTCAGTAAGTTGAGACATCATTTCAGCACATCTGATTATAGCTCGTGTGTAACTATTGTCACTAGAAAACTAGCAGAAAATTGAACAATTCAAGTAACAGAAAAATATTAATAAATTACCCGCACTGCTGCACTCATATCGTCAACGAAATTTTTGTCGCCACAATATATTTGCTTGATGGTTTGTCCAATATTGACAATTGTTTTATTGTTGAGAATTATGCTCATGTCTTCAGGAACTAAACGATCCACATAATTATCGTACATTTCACATTTCGATTTAAGCGAGTCTAGGTCTATCAAACTATTAATACTTATAAAAAAAGAAAATATTCGTAATTCGTACCTCCAGCCTCAGATAAAGCTTCTTCAGAATTAATACCCATCAAAACTGGTACTTTAACAAAATTTCCTGTTCGCATAAGCCCATACATTTTTTTTGTAATAAAAGCATCTTCATGTTCAACTTCAATAACTGGTGCCTGTATTTAAAAAGTATATATTTTGTAACTTTTAGGTATCACAGTTTTTTACCCATTCTGATTGTTTCAAGGAAACTTTATCTAAATCTTCTGCTGATATGTTGAGTAAAAAGTCACGTAAAACTTCAGAATCATCAATTTCGTTAAAACTTGAGTTAAAAATAGCACCATATTCGAAAGCTTTTTGTCTTGGGTTTCTTTGGAGGGACCAAGGATTGATCGCTGTACCACTTTCCATAATAGCTCCTCGAAATAAACCTACATTTTATTGAAGTACCAAAAATTTTTAAAGGTACCTTCTGACTTTTCGTTTAAAATGTGATGACTTACAGAAGCACCACCAGCGCTTTCGCCCACTAAAGTCACTCTTGTTGGATCTCCTCCAAACAAATGTATATTATCGTGGACCCATTTTATTGCCAACTGTTGGTCTTTTAAACCATTATTTCCGGGTATAATTGTATCTCCAGTTGATAAAAATCCTTCAAAGCAAAAATTAAAATAAAAAGTGTGCATTCTTAGAGTTACCTAATGCTCCCAGTCTGTAATTAAATGTAATAATCACAACGTCATGATCAATTAAATATTCAGGACCACGTCGGTACTGCATTGCATGTCCTTCAACAAATCCACCACCGTAAATATACAATAGAACCGGTATAGAAACATTTTTATTTTCATCAGGAAGCTACAAATTAGTGAAGACATAATACCATGTAAAAAAAATAATCAAAAAATGCCTACCTCTGGTGTGTAAACATTAATGTAGAGACAGTCTTCAGACTCCTCTGGTAAATTTGTCGTGTCTTGATAGCAAATTTTATCGAGATAAGTACAATTTAAAATCCCTTCCCATTTATTAGGGGGTATTGGTGCCTATAATTAAAAAAGTTGTTAGAACAAATTGTTTGTCAAAACAATTTTTACCTTAAATCGAAGATTTCCAACAGGTGGGGCAGCATATGGAATCTTTTGAAAATGAAAATAAGGTTTATCAGTGTACGATTTATCTTCACGTCCGAGGATAATGCCATTAGGCAGTTCTACCAAAACATCTGAACACTGCAAACAATTTAGTTGAGTTTATTTATGTACAACTAAATTTTTTAGTAACTATATTACCAGAATTTGTGTTAGTTGTAAGATTAGTAAGAAGAAAATTTTCACTAACATGTTATATGCACGTGTATGTGTTTGTAAGCACCTGAGAGCAAATAATTTTACTTGAAGTTGATAAGTGTCTACCTATTACCACTTTAGACAAGATAATTTTGTGATAAACATAAAGTCTGATTTATATCAACTGGTATACCTAATAATTATAAGACTACTAAAAAAGCTTTTATTTGAAATTACAATAAAATTACAGGAAACATATTAATATTTTAATTATTATGATCAATATTTTACAGGAAGTGTTCAGATAAAAATATCAAATTTTTCCCCAAAATCGTATACCATCTTAAATAGGTTTTTATTTTGGTTTCATATGGTTAATTTTTTGTCATTATCTAAATACAAAAAGTCTTTTGGTCTGAAATCTGGGTCTTTTTGGGTTAGACCGCGTCAATTTTGAAAAAAAGGTGCTGTACTTTGCTGGAGTTTCGTTAAATTACACATACTTATCATCAGGCTCAGTGGGTCAATTAATGAAAGCTAGTAGGTAAGCTAATAAATCAAAAATGGAATAATTGTGCTTATATGTCACATTTACTCGTAATTTAAAAATTAAGCAAATAAAATTATATAGTAAGTATTTAAAATTAACATTTAAATTTGGCGGAAAATGCTGTTGTCAGAAATTCAAATTTTTGACATTTGACAGTTGACGTTCATGTTTTGTGCTTGAAATTTGTTGTTTATTAAGCAATTGTTATAAATGTGTGAAACACATTTTCATTGTTGAAATATGATGTTTTGTATGAATTAGTGTCATAAGAATACCGGCTGGTAAACTTTTATTTGTTGAAATTTAGATATCATAATGGTACATTTTTAATATTAAATTTTTTACCTGTTAAAAACAAACATCTTTTTGCAGACGTCTTCAGAAGCCACTGAAACAAAGTGTATAATTACAAGCTTGTTAACGTCTAATCCTTTACGTTCATCTATGAAACAGTTATGTGACGATTTTCGAAATATTGTAGGTTATCCAATACCTATTGACAAACTAGGTTTTGCTTCTGTTGAAGCATACCTGCGATCAATTCCAGACACAGTTCAAGTAATTTTCTGGTCATTTGCTGGTTTAAATGTTATTGTCATGTTTTGCAGGTTCATGGATCAGGTCCATACGCAGAAGTTGAAGGTGTTATTAAAGCCAAATCGGCTCACATTAATTTAATGGTAGCAAAGCAAAAGAAAAAACCTAAGGTTTCGCTATACAAAAGGTTTATTCTATATTAAGTTGTGAAAACAATTTAGGCAGCAATTATTTTTAGGACAAGAGTAAATTTTATTCCATCAGGTTATCGACTACAACAAAACTATACTCCACGTAGACCGCCAAGATGTTACACAAATGAGAGTAACAAGTTTGACTTGGTCGAGGCAACACAAACACCAGAAAAAAAAATTTCACCACCGCTAGACCCCCTCAATGAACCTTGTTTTAATATAGAATCTCCAGCAGATATACAAGACTGTGATTATTTTAAGCAGGAATGTCAAGGTCATGTGGTACTTGATTGTGATAGAGAAATTATTTCTCAAGTTGGACTTAAAAAAGAACCACAACAAAAGACTTCCTCATCAAGTGAGTCTGAGAAGGAATATCGAATTTTATCAGAAACAAGCAGTTCATTGTCACTAGCTGAAGAGAAAACTGTTGACAATCACTCACAACTTTTGAATTTGAATAATGTCGCAATTAATAGTGATGAGAGAAGTGAAGCTCCATCAAACTCAAATGTTCCTACAAAAGTTGAAAATAATTTAAAAAAACTTATCCTCCAATTTCCAAATGGTCTCTGGTGCAGCAAATTGCCAATAGAATATCGGTATAACAGTCAGATTTTTTACTTTCTATGAAATCAATTAATTTGTTTCAGTCAAATGTTTAAAAAGAAATTAAATTATGAATACTACGGTTATAGATCTTTGATTGAAATGTGCGCAGATTTACCTCATGTTTTTCAATATATTCAACCAGGAACGCATGATTTTCTTTTGTTTGACATAAATAGGTCTCTACCGTCATATTCTAAAAGTGAAAAAATTGAATTGGAGGTGCAAGTTGAAGATGTCGCCAAAACTCATATTTTAGATGAAGTTGAGTTGGATGTAGGTATTTATTTAGTATTTTTCGTTATGTAATGATGTAATCATTCAGTGGACAGCTGGCCCAGCGATAATACCCTCTGATGTTATGCGTTTATCAGATGAAATACTTCGATGTTTTCCTTCTGATAAAGCTGTGGGTGATATACTTGAAATCTCTGTTGAGGAAATTTATGATCTTTCCAAATTTTGGGTTACTCTGACTTATGGCGACTTGGAAAGTTTGATGAACGAGTTACAGTAAGCAGCTTATTTATATATTTGTTAAAATATGAAACACAGTGTTGTAGGACTTTTTTCTATGATAATCATAGTAAATACTTTATTCCAGAAAAACTATTAGAAGTAGACTTATTTTGTGTAGCTTTGTATGCAAATTTATATCACCGTTGTGTCATTGTTGATTTATTACCGAGATCACCAGGCTTTATCAGGGTTTGCTTGTTTCAATTGTATTTCAGTTTGATTTAACACATGTCTTTTAGGTGTTTTTTATTGATTATGGGACAGTGGAGAATATTTCCAGTAGGGAAATTTGGTTTTTACCGAAACAGTTTAGTAAAGTGCCTTCTCAAGCGATCCGAGCCCGCTTATCTGGAATTTATCCCCCTTATGAAAATAGTACTTGGAGTGAACAAGCTATAATTGCATTCCAGAAACTTGTCACTAATAGGATTATAGTGGGAGAAGTCACAAAAATTGACGAAACGGTTTGCCTATGAAAATATACATTTATTTCTTTTGTAAAAATTAGCGATTATTTGCAGCAACATGTGTTGGAACTCTACATGGCTGACATTACCAATGAAAAACATATTTTCTACGTCAACGATCAATTAGTTAATGAAGGTCATGCGATCTACATTGATAATGTAAGAAATTTGGAAAATAATAATTGGCTGTGTGTGAATTGTGGACGCTGTCTAGTGCTAAAACAGTTTCATCACGCTAGAGTGACATACATTTTTTAAAACAAATCAAATTATTTTAAAAACTAAACAAAATCAACTAAAGTTTAGTATAAAACAATCAACCTTAAAAACTATAGTACTTAAATAGTCTAAAAAATTGGCTAGTCAATTAAGAAACTCTTTTTAAAAGTTGCTTTAATACCTATAATTACTAAAACAAAATTTATTTTAAAATTTTAAAGTTTCCACAGTCTACATAAGAGTACGTTTACTAAGAGAGACTAAAAGTACAAACACTGTCGTACTTCATTAATTTATTTGCATTTTTTTTTAGTTTTGAAAGAGTGTCTTAGGTTAAAAAAAACTTATACCAGGTGAATAAAAAGTATGGAACCAAGCGTTTTTTTCGTAAACTAAGCACTTTACAAAAAAAAATAATTAGTGTAGCGTAAAGTCCAATTAAAATGTGACCATTTATCAAGAATAACATTTTTCAAAATTTCTTTTAGTTTTCGAGTTCTGAAAAAAAAATTTTTTTTTAATGGCAACCCACCATGGTAATTTTTTTAATTAAAGAATATGATCTAAAAATGACCTCTAATTAAATAAAATTGTTTTTTAGCCAGTACTTTTTTTTTAATTAATTGTTAAAGTTGCGTTCTGAGCTCATCACGAAGATTTTCCGAACTTAACCGAAGTGGTTGTTTCATTTTTTTCATCATGGGAGAGGGCTGATTTCTATGCAGGTGCTTTGGGGTGGTTTCGAATGGACTGAAAATAGAAGAAAATGATTTGTTTTTACATTTTTTCATCCATCCGGAACCACCCCAAAGCACCTGCACCAAAAACCGGGCTCTCCAACGACCAAAATCATGAAACGACTCCCTCGTTCAAGTTCGGAAAATCTTCGTGATGGGCTCGGAACGCAACTTTAACAATTTATTAAAAAAAAAGTACTGACTAGAAAACAATTCTTTAATTAAAAATCTTTAATTAAAAAAAAATTACCATACTGGGTTGGCATTTAAAAAAAAAATTTCAGAACTCGAAAACTAAAAAAAAATTCGAAAAATGTCATTCTTGATAAATGGTCACATTTTAATTGGACTTTACGTTACACTACTAATTATTTTTTTTGTAAAGTGCTTAGTTTACGAAAAAAACGCTTGGTTCCATACTTTTTATTCACCTGGTATGTAATCAGTCTAGTGCTAAAACAGTTTCATCACGCTACATTTTTTAAAACAAATCAAATTATTTTAAAAACTAAACAAAATCAACTAAAGTTTAGAATAAAACAATCAACCTTAAAAACTATAGTATTGAAATGGTCTAAAAAATTAGTTAGTCAATTAAGGAAAACTTTTTAAAAGTTGCTTAAATACCTACAATTACTAAAACAACATTTAATAGAGTTTCCACAGTTTACATAGTAGTACGAGACTAAAAGTACAAAACACAGTGTCGTACTTCATTAATTTATTTGGAGTTTTTTTTTTAGTTTTGAAAGAGTTTCTTAGGTTAAAAACTTATATGTAATCACAATGTCTTATTACAGAAAAGGAAAAAGTCTTACATAGACTACGACTGCACTCCAAACGTTCTATACTTGCATCTTTTCCCGGAATTCAGCGAAATCGAGTCGGGAATGGCTCCAACAAAAGAAGAAATGAAGTATATTATTGCTAACAAGCTACCTCTCCATCACTACATGCCTCAATATTTCAATATTTATTATTTCGAAGACGTCGAGCAGATCCAAACACAACACGAGAAATTTAACAGAAAGAAATTGCATGATCGTGGGGTCTTCTGTGAAGAAGAAGATTTCGATTTTTCGTTTTTTCCCGATATTTTGCAAAGTGAAATTAAGGACCTTCTTGAGCAAGACACTAAAACAAAATTGTGTGGTGATCAATTGAAAAATGACAAAGTGCCTAAAATTGGTGAAGATGGTGAGATTGAACCGGATTCATCATTTAGAGAGTATTTTTGTAACAAAAAACGTATTTCAGAGTTAATACATGGCGCCTCTTCTAAGACTTGTAGTGATTCAAAGTGTTATCGTGATAAATCTGTTTTGACTTTGGATTCAATAAGCGACGTGTCATTCAGTTCGGAATCTTCGCCAGACATTTTACCATTAAACAACAGTTTCAAGCAACTTAATTTAAATAACAGTGATTTCTCAGTGATTAATAATAATGTTAGTGACAAATTACAAAAAGCCACTAATCCATTTCTCAGTGATGACTTTATAACTGATACGAATCCGTTCCGAATTTATAATCCTTTTATGAGTGATGAAGACGAAACACGTAGCAAAAGTGATACATTTAATAAAACGCCTGAAGAGAAGTTACCAGATAAAATCGTGAATAATTTAAACGATATCAGTGCGTGTAGTTGCAAACTTAACAAACAAGTGAATCTCGATAAATCGAATTTGAACCCAAATAAAAGTCTTTCAAATCCGTTCACACAACTCGAAAAACAGCAACCATCCAATGAACATCAAACACGAGTTCGGACTCCTCCAGGATTTGCTTCTCAAAATGTTCAAAACAGAATGGTGCATAACTCCAGTTTCATAAATAGTTTTAATTTTGTTAACCCGTACTACCAAAGATTTGAGTATCCCCAATACAACAGTAACTTTTATGCCCAGAATCAGTTTAATATGTCTATGGTTCAACCAATGGGCAATTTTTTAAATTCTGCTCCAATGTTTTACCCCAATCAGTTAAATTTTGATGCAGGTGCGTGGAATCAGATGCGACCACAGAATTATAACCACAATCCGAATTTGAACAATTTTCAGAAGTAGCCTGGAGTGCTTCGAAATTTTTATCGCAAAGTTTTTTATTGAGTTTATTTTAACATTTGAAGTACCTAAGTAAAAAGAATGTTTTTTTTATTTCACTTTTGTATTGGTTGGTAATACGATTTTTTGTTTGTTTGTATGTTTTGCAAGGTTAATAAAAACTTTTTCGTTTATTTGGTTTTATGGTTACACCACAAATAATGCAAATTTTATAATAAAACCATTGTGGTTGGTTATAATTTAAAACTTTGACTCACATTCGAGTATTTCCCCGAAAGTAGTTAAAGTAGAAATCTGCAGAACTTAATAGGATTCTGTAATATTTTATATTTTCCTACGGTTTCGCGACCTTCGACTTGCCTGGTGGATAAACCCCAACAAAAGTCAAATATGACAAGAATATTAATAGAACCGTCAATTTTATAAAATATATTTTTCTGGTAAGAGAATAAACCCCAATTCTATAGTATTTTACTATTCCTACCCTAGATATACACCCAACAATCCATAAAATTAAAAAAAAATGCAAGCACAGAAAGGAGGGGAAAAGGCAAAACAGTCCCTCAATCAAGCTGCGAAATTATTAAATCAAAACGGTTTTGCCAAACAACTGATTACTGGGACTGCTTCAGGATGGTCAGTGATGTACTATGTATAAATTGGTGAATCGGTATTTTACGGGAATTTTAGGTTTACAGGAGCTGTTGTGAAGCATGCTGGCAAAGGTATTTCTCTTGTACTAGGAAGTGGCATAATTTTGCACCAAATTGCTCACAATCAAGGGATCATTAAACAAGATCTTGATACCTTGAAGGAATTAGCTCAGAAAAAGGCCAGTGAAATGAGCAAAAATACTCCTGCTATTCAAAAGGTACTACCTTTTTAATTACTGGTTTCTACTTATTGATGATATTGTTGTAGATGAGAGGGTTTGCATCTAAAAACAAGGTCTTCACAGCTGGTTTTCTTGGTGGTTTCCTTATTGGTGTCGCTTTATAAACACTGTTTTATTAAATTATTTACATGATATACTCATTTTAGTTTTTTTTTTTGTAGAGAAGAATTATTAAGTAAACGTGGTGATATATGTTGAAATGTTAATAGTGTGATTTATTATAAAATAAAAACCTAGAACATACCAAAAAGTGTAAAGTATGTAAGATAAGTGTTTTGCATTTTAAATTGTTTTTTTGAAAAAGTACAATATGCGAACATTATCTAATTTCTACTGTACAGGATTTCTACGGTTCGGGACTCATTTTTGAGGCAACTCCCTGTATTTTTTCAAATTCAGATGATATCATCAATGTTTTGGTGCTCATGTGATTCTCGGTATAGTGAAACTAAATAGTGATAATATATTTTTCATTACGTTTAGTATTTGTGTGGATATTTTCGATTAATTTCCCGGTCTTTTGACAGTTGGACTGTCAATTTGACGTTTGTGAAATTGTGAAAATGGCAGAGTTAATATCGGTTCCGTTGAAAAAACCTTCAGAAGTAGATTTAGTGACACCTCTAAAAAATTTAATCCAGTCCAGATATAGTACTGCTGATAAGCCTGAAGACTGCAATGAAGCAATAAACGAGTTATCAAAACTTAGAAATACAGCGATTTGGAAAGCCTTTGAGAAGTATGAGAGTTCACTGGACATTATTTATGGGTATGATTCATGTTTAATTAATTCAAAATAGCCCTCTATTGTCGTTGTTTTTAGATATTATGATCAATTGGTGTCTCTTGAAACAAAAATTCCGGCACAGGAATTACAGGTGCCATTTAAATGGAAGGATGCATTTGATAAAGGCTCTATCTTTGGTTCCAGAATCAGTTTAAGTAAGACCCAAAGAAAATTGCAGGTTTTAACATGACTCATAAATTATGTTTCAGCGATTCCTTCACTCAGCTATGAGAAAATTTGTGTCTTGTTCAACATTGCAGCTTTACAAAGTGCAGTGGCCGCCAGTCAGAGTGTTGAAAATGATGAGTCACTTAAATTGGCTGCAAAGTTATTACAGGTTTGCTAAATGAACGAGTTTGAGTGAGAAAACAACCAATTTCTTGTAGCAATCATCAGGCATTTTTAATCATTTGAAATCAACTGTAATGTTGACTATACAACAAGATCCCACTCCTGACCTAAATCCTGACACTCTGGGAGCTTTATCAAACTTGATGTTAGCGCAAGCACAAGAAATTTTTGTTCACAAGGCCATCCATGGTCAGTAAAAATTATATCAATTTTATTTTATAAATAATTCTTTTCCAATTCAGATAATATGAAAGACTCGATTGTGGCAAAATTGGCTTCCCAGTGCGAGGATTTGTACGGCGAATGTTTGAAAGTGTTTCAAAGGGAAAATCTGAAAAATATATGGGACAAAGATTGGATCCCAACGGTTAGTTTCTCGCTATTAAAAAATATTTTACTTAAAAATGGACATAGATTGCAGGGAAACAGGCCGCACTTCACGCCGTCGCACAGTTCTATCAAAGTTTGGTGTGCAGAAGCAACAAACAAATCGGTGAAGAAATTGCAAGATTGGAACATTCAGTTTCGCTGTTTCAAACAGCTCAACAACGTTCAGGCAAAGCATCACTTTTCCAAGATTTACAACATAAAGCTCAAAGAAACTTAACTGAAGTAAAAAAAGATAACGATTTCATTTATCATGAAAGAATTCCGGATATAAAATCATTGGAACTTATTGGTAAAGCTCAACCAGCGAAGGTTTTACCATTAGCACAACCGATGAGTCAAGCATTTAAAGATTTGTTTAGTGAGTTGGTACCAGTGGCAGTACATCAGGCTTTGGCTGCTTATGATGTGAGAAAAACCGAGATTGTTAATGCTGAAATCGGGCGTCTTAGAGAATCTACTACCACATTGAATGGGTACTGATTTCTCGTTTAACAAATTTTATGTATTGATTTTTCTGGTTATAGAATTTTAGCTTCGTTGAATTTGCCGGCTGCAATTGAAGTTACTGATGGTAGTTCAGGGCTGCCACCTTCAATTATCGAAAAAGCCAATACTGTAAGTCAGTTAGGCGGCATAAACGAATTGGAAAAAATGATAAGAGAATTACCAGATGCCTTGAAGAGGAATCAGGACATACTAGATGAAGTATGACAAACGGTTTTGTTTTATTTTGGTTTTATTTGTTTATTTTAGACTGACCGAATGTTGAATGAGGAGAAACAAGCAGATGATTCTTTGCGCCAACAATTCAAAGAACGTTGGACTAGAACACCGTCCGATAAATTGAATGAAATGTTCCGCTCAAATGCTGCAAAATATAGAGAGATTATTAATAACGCAGTTCAGGTATTATTGCGAATTTTTAAAGTCTGTTTTTTTTTAAATGGAAATTACCAAGTCAAAATATTGGTGAAAAAGTTGGTAGCAGCTTGTCTCCATAGCCACAAATTTTGTTTGCTCTTTGTTTTTGTCCCGGGAAATTTTGTTAAATAATTATGGTTATGTGTTCAAATTGAGATGTTGTCAAAATTTTGACTTATGAATTATGTGTGCCTGTTTGCTCTTTGAAAGCGCTATAATTGAATACCTGAGGACAGACATCATTACCTAAGGTCTAAAGACAGAATTCAGTGCTAATAATTTTGACAGAAACACACCGTAAGTAAGTACAATGTTGTGGATAAAAATGAGATTCTTGCTACAAAAACTTTGAATAAAAAGAATGTATTTACAGAAAAAAGCTATTAAGCAAAAGATACAAGTGGGTATTATGATGATTGGCAATAAATTTTGTGTAATTTATTGAAATTTGCTCAAAGTTGATACATTTTATAAATTCTTCTTTAGCTTTAGTTTTAAAATTGTTACTTTTTCAACTCGTTCCTCAAAAACGATGCACAGGACACTAATTTAATTGCATTCTTTCCGAGGTTCTTTCTCATTCATGTTTATTTTCTATTCTTGTCAATTTTTTGCTAAAAATTTTTAGGTTTAGCAAACCTGCATTACAAATTGCGTCTACATTTTAACGGGCCCTTTTTGTAACTTCCTGCTTGCGAACTATTCGTTTCCAAATTTCGAAAAACTGTTAGAAGTACCGAATTTGTTTCTTTTTTGGTGTTTCTTTTTCCTTTTTTTTTAGTAATTGTGAAATCATTTTCGTGTGAATTACAGGCTGATAAAGTGGTCCGTGAAAAATTCGAGTCTCACCGCGAGGGAATTGCTCTTTTGAGTAAATCTCCGGCTGAGTTACAGGCAGCAGTCCCTCAAGGATCATCCGGCACCGTGACGAATTCTTCGGCTGTTAACACGTTAAGACAGTTGATGGAAGAAGTTGAAACAATCAAAGCAGAACGCGACGTTATCGAATCAGAATTAAAAAATACCAACTTTGATATGAAAACTAAATTTTTATCGGCGTTGGCTAAAGACGGGGCTATAAGTGAACCGGCTTTATCTGTTGAAAACCTTGGTCAGATATACGGCCCTCTTCAGAAACAAGTTAGAGAGAGTATTGAGAAACAAGAGGGTCTTATCGCAAAAATACAACAAGCCCATTCCCAGTTTATCCAAGAGAGAGGGTCAACGGCTTCCGGTAGGGAGAGTAAAATGGTCCAGTTGGCGGGTGCTCATGATGCATTTAGAGACCTTTTGAACAATTTAACAGAAGGAACAAAGTTTTATAACGATTTGACTCAGTTATTAGTCGCTTTCCAAAATAAAGTATCTGATTTTTGCTTTGCCCGGAAAACTGAAAAGGAAGAGTTGTTGAAAGATCTTACACAGGAGTCAAGTAGAGGGTCGATGCCGACCCCCACTCAACCGTCCTATTACACAGGTCCAGGTAGGACAATACAATGGCAATTTCAACTGCTAAATCGTATTAAATTTTACTATTAGATGTGAAGAAAGAGGCTCCACCGAGGCCCCCACAGCCCTCGCAGCCACCCCAAGCTCCGCCGGCTTCTGGAGGAGTCCCATATCCGGTTTACGTCCAAGGAATGCCTGTACCCTACGGGGCGTCCACTTCTACCCCCTATCCCGCTTATGTTCCACCACCCATGCCTCAAGGGTACAACCCATATGGAACTATGCCATATCCCAGTATGAGCAAAATTAAAAATGAGGTTTTAAATTTGATGAGGTTTTTTCCAGATTCGTATAATTATCCAGGGGGATTCCCAGCTGCGCCAGGTTATGGACAACAACCACCACCGGGGAGTTACCCCCAACAACCACCGGCGGGATATCCCCCACAAAATCCAGGGGGATATCCACCAAATCCCTGGTAATGATGTGGTCGGTGTTGTATTTTAGGTGCGCAGTGATTAAGTTTACAATAGGTAAATTTTGATCATTAGTTTAGGAAGTTAATTATTATGAGTGGTTTATTAAGATGTATCATTTTTTTAAAGTTATATGTAGCTGAGAGCAGTTATTGTTAATCGAGTCTGTCAATTTTATCTAAGTTGCAAAATTAATTTTTGTATAATAAAATATTTTTATACTATTATTAATGTTAATTATTATGGATTGTAAGGAAATTAGTGCCTCTGTTTGTATTAATCTTTCAGAATAAATGATTACCAAATATGTTTACTTTTTTATTTCCTTTTGTCTTTTTCTCTTCCAAATCAAAGTAACACTATAAACTGAAAAAAAAGATTTTTCAATCTATAAACAAATTATAGACAAAAATTATTTAAGACAACCCAAATTTTATTCAATAAAAAAAAGGATTTTTTTAGAATACAAATCCCTTTTGGTACAAAAAATCTCATTGTTAAGTTGTTTAACTGAAATTTCCAAAACTTCTTTGTTTACGCTATAAAAATTTAATTTAATTTTTATAACAGCCACTATTAGTAATTTTAATATTAATTTAATGTGGGAAAGGTATTTTAGCATACCAGGTAGATTCCATAGAAGTGATCTATATTGTGCATGAAATATATTACAAAAACAACTAAGTAATACAATACTTTGGAATATTTTATTGAAAAAATATAAAAGATATAATTATAAATACAAAATAGAATATACAAATAAGCTTAAGAAATAAACCTAAAGTCATGTAAGGTGTAGGTACACTTAAAAGAGTCATAGACATCTACAAAACTATAGTTAGTATCAGTGTTATTTTTGATACTTTTTTAAAAATTAAGAAATGAAAAAAAATAAGGACTTAATATTTTATTTTGCCATAACAAAAATCCTATTTTTCTTAGAATTAATGCGAAAACAACAAATGCAAGGAGTTTTTTCAACACTGTTGAAAGCTCTTCCTAACTTTGTGAATTCGTTGAAAGTGGTTAGGTTTACAGTTTTGAAAAAAGAACAACAAAAATTTACAGTAAGTGTAATTCAGGTTCTCTTAGTGAAAAAGGTTGATGTTTTATGTGATTTTTGATTAGGACGACTAGTACTGCAAGCAATACACACATCACAATAACAATTAAGGTGAAAACAATAAAAATAATATTAGTTTTGGCAATTGACGCTAACAGTTGTTCAAAATCGTGATTCAATTTCTTGACGTCTATATCTGTATCTGGCTGATTATTTTGGTTTAGCAGTTCAAAATCTTTAGAAAAGAATTTGAAAAACGACGTGTTTCTAAAATCAGTATCAAAAAACGATTGCATACCTTGTAAAACATTGTTATATTTGGTTTTGTTTTCACTGAAAAACAAGTTGAAGTTAGTACACGGTACTCCATTCACATTTGATACATTATGATAGGTACTTTCGCCCATTTTCATTTTGAGTTTGTATGAAAACATGGATGAAAGTCTTTGACATGAAATATTGTTTCCAATTAGGTGAATTTGTTCCAAATCGGTGTAACTTGCAAGTTTTACCAAATTTATATATTGCAAGTTATTGTAACTAACATTGAGAACTTTTAAATATTTCATGTTGATAAAGACATCTTCCTCTAGAAAATACAATTGATTATAACTGAGATCTAATGTGTGTAAAGTTTCTAACCCTTTAAATACTCCAAATTCGAGATATTTCAAAGAATTTTCTGCTAGGTTTAACACACGAAGAGAATTTAAATTTTTAAATACTCCGGGAGGCAGTTTTGTAATGTTATTATTCTCAAGATACAAGTTTTCTAATTTCCTAAGACTTTTAAATTCGTTTGTATTGATATTTGATATGTAATTTTGACTTAGGTCGATTTTTTTTAGATTTTCAAGTGCTGATATATTGGAAATTTTAGTTAGGTGATTATTTTTGAAATTTAATTCTTCAGCAATGAGTGGAAAACAAGAACCATTAGCTTCAGTCAAAAAATTATTTTTTAATTCGATTACATCCAAAAAACTCAAGTGTATAGAATCACAATTTATGCTGTAAATTTTGTTATTGTTTAAAAAAATTGTTTTGTGTACTACAAAATTTGAGAAAGTGAGATCAAGAAACTTAATATTATTATAAGACAAATCTATAAACTTCAAGTTTTGTAGAGAATGGAAAATATTTTGAGGTACATGTGTGATGTTATTATTGTAAAGCAAAATTTTTTGTAATTCATTACTTCCATTGAAAGCTTCATCTTCTATTAAATATATATCATTATTGCTCAAATCTAAGAATTTTAGTTGCAGAAGGGAATTGAAACATCCTCGGGAAATAACAGTGAGAGAATTAAATTGTAAATAAATTTCTCTTACTTGCAGTAATCCAGAAAACGCTCCAGTTTGAATTGTTTCTATTTTGTTGTTATCTAGTTCAAGGTAAAGCACATTTCCTTTTTTGTTTGAAGCAAAAACATTCATTGGAAAATTTTTGATGGAACTATTTTTAAAAACATATCTGTAGCTATGACTTGTTGGTGTTGATGAGTCACTTGAAACTTCTTCATTAATGTTTTCAGAAGTAATGCCAATACAGGTGATTATTACTTCATTATAAATTCTTTTTTTCGGTATTCCAGACCATTGACATCGGGCAATTACACTTGAGATAAGGCTAAAAAACAGTAATATTTTCTTCATTCTGTTGATTCTGAAACATTGCGTTGGAGTTAGTTGTTTGGAAATTCTAAATTCATAGTAATTTACCTGTTTTTTGCAGAAGCTGCAGTTGTACGAGTATAATATCCTTAAATGTGAAACATTGAAATACATTTATATGCAAACAAAGTTCTGGTTTATGTGAAATCAGAAGAGTAATATTATTATCAAAGTGATAACAGTAGAAGAACACAATTATCGTGTGTCGAATAATCAACTTCCATGACAAATAGCGCTTCAAGGAATTACTAATTCTAAATTTGTAATCTATATTATTTATTTTGGATTTAAGATTTATTTAGAATAAAAATTTATGTTAAAATTACGATAAATTTTACTGTTTTCACATTTACACGAACTATTTAGTTTTGAAATAACTTAATAAAAAAACAAGTTATAAAATTATATACATATATTTATTTAAATTACAAAAATTTACAAATACATTGTCCTCAGAAACTAATATGTGAATACTCACTCGTAATACACTTCCTTTTTTAATGTGTAAAAAAAATATTATTTTTATAAAAATATTAATAATAATCACATTTTTTGAATGTATATAAAATTAAGAGCAACTAATCAGCTGCAGTTCTTGATCACTATTTATTCTTGCGTTTTTGTTATTATTACTTTTACGGATAAATGCAATCCATATAAAACTTAAATATAAAATATTTAAAAACAGTATGCCTATGAAGACATTAAGAAATATTAATAAAACTTCAATCGTATGTAATTTAGAATCAGATAAATTGACAATTTCTAATAAACGACTTAAATTTTTTGTTTTTTGTATGTCCTCGTGTTTATAAGCCACTCCATCGACTATATTTGTATTTGCTGTTTCCAAGTGACTCAAATTTGATGAGTCTTGTACTTGTAAATTACAAGCCACACCATCGACATTAGTTGTGGTATAGTCCCCCACATCTATAACTTTTTTACCAAATTTGTGCATAATATCAACTATACGTGAACAAGACCATCCGTTTTCTGCTAAACCAATTTTTTCTACGTTTGGTAAATGTAATAAAATTGCTTCCAACTCATTGTATGTAACTTTAGTTTTGCTTAAATTTATCACTTTCAAAGATCGTAAATTATAAAAAACGTTACCACTAACTTGATGTAATCTATTGAATGATAAATCTATGTGTTGCAAAGCATTTAGCCCAACAAAAACACCTATCTCTAAAACATAAATTTCGTTATTTGACAAATCGAGTTTAATCAGCTGATTTAAATCCTTAAACGATCCCAAATCAATTTTTCGAATTTGATTGTGATCTAAACAAAGAACTTTTAACATTTTCAAATCATGTAAAGAATTAAACTCAATTTCTGTTAAATTGTTAAAACTAAGGTGTAAATAGTTAAGTGATTTAGGTAAATTTAAGAGGTCACTGCTACGTAAATAATTTTTTGCAAGGTTTACTTTTACTAGCTTTGTAGTATTTTTGAAGTTGCGATTTAGTTGTTTTAATTTATTATTAGTTAGTGAAAAGTCTGACAGTAATGGAAAAGAAATAAAAAAAGTGTCATGAGTTGATTCCAAGTTGTTATTATCTAAAAGTAACCGATTTACAGTTGCATTTGCAAGTGATACATTTTTGGTTGATGTTATACCGTTCGAGCTTAAATCTAACGTCCTAATATTGATATTACTTGAAAAATTGAAAAAATTGATTGTATTATGACTAGCATTAATAAAAGTAATAGATAAAGTTGGTAAATTTAAATTATGAAAACCTCGAAATTGATTGTTGTTAATATATAAATAAGCCAGATTTCTATTTTCACTGAGTATATTTTTATCCAAATCGTTTAAATAATTATTATTTATACGTAATTCAAATAGTGAGTTTAAACTAAAAAATATCTGATTGTCGAGACTAAGAATTTGGTTAAACGAAATATCTAAATGAGTTAGACTTGTTAGACTCCTCTTGAATAAATTGGGTGGTAATTCAGAAAGAAAATTATTTTTTAAGATCAGCGTTTCTAAAGTTCCACAATCTATGAAACTGTTTTCATTTATATTGCTAATGTTATTGAAACTTAAATCTAAGTATGTTAAGTGCAAACCTTTAAAATAATAATCTTCTATACTTGAAAGTTTGTTATTTTTTAATGATAACCTGCTCAGATAAGATTCTAAGTCTGAAAAAGCGTTATGATAAATTTCGTGAATATTTGCGTTATATATTCTTAAATCATTCACGGGAAACTTCAAATAACCCTCCAATGACAAAATACGATTATCGGTGTCACTGATTTCCAACCACTCTATACCGTTGTACCCAAGATGAAAAAAATATGGTTGAACTTTTCTGTACAAATCTGAAGATATATTTTCAAATTTACAAGAAAGGTAGTGCCCACTCATAATTTCTCCTTGGGAATTTTGTACATTATCAACTGTACACACTCCTAGAGTAATTTCTATTGTTACAGCTAGAATAAATAAGAAAAAGAAAGGCATGGTCAAACCTAAAATTGACAAATAATAATAATTATTATTTTTATTAAACTTACCAAAAGTAAACAAAAATATCACTACTAGAAGAAGTGTATTTTATTGTAACCGATTGTGTAAAATTTATTCTGTTTCAGTTTAATCAAAGAACTGCACATAGATATATTTAAAATGCTGTATTACTGATAAGTGATAACACTTATCAAGTTCTTACAAAGCATATGGAATACACCAATTAAAAAAAAGTAGCGTAATTTTGTGTCTTTTTCATTTTGTCTCATATGAATTTATGTGCTATGTAGAAGGACTACAAATAATAATTATTGTTACCAAAAAACAAAACTAGAAAATATGTCTTCTTGCGGTTGTGTAAGATATAGAATTGAGCTTCTTATCAATGAAAATAAAAGAGGTGGTAATGTGATCATAGTTTCAGGAAAAGGCATTTAATTCTTGACTTTAGGAAAGTAAAAAAGCATACAAGAACTGTAACTTTGCAAAATTTATTTTTTTAATTGTACATAGAAATCTTAGCAATCGGAAACGAGCTGTATTTCCTGTTCACTCTTTTGTCTCTTGCCGATCTTGATCTTATTTTTTTTGCAAATTAATGCAGTAATTGCCAATTGTGTTAATAACACAATTAATATAAAAATTAATAAAGTATTCATGGTACTTAACTTTACATTAAAAGTAGTAAAGTTTCTCGTTTCCAAGTTAACTAAATCGGTCAAATCTTCATCTTCATTGTTACAAGCAACACCATCTATATTAGTTATGTTATAATCACCTGCATCGGTAAGTTTTAACATGCGATGTTTGTTTATAAGTTTTGTTAAAAGAGAGCAAGACCAATTGTTTTCGGCTAAATCTAAGTTCCTAAGTGAGAGAGACTGCGATAGTATATTTTCGACAATCGTGTAATTAATTTTAGTTTTTCTTAAATTGAGGACACGCAAAAATCTCATATTGTGAAAAACTTCACCGTTTAATTGCATTAATTCATTATTCGATAGATTTAATTCTGTTAACCCAAACAATCCCACAAAAACACCAACATCCAATGATGAAATTTGATTATTTGATAGATCAATTATTCTTAAACGTTGCAAATCCCTGAAACAACCTAAAGTTACTTTTGCTATTTTATTATTACTCAAATTTAGATTTTGTAAAAATTTTAGTCCCGCTAAAAAATTAAACGGAATTTGGTGCAAGTTGTTGAAACTAATATCTAACTCTTTTAGATTGGATAAAACGGTTAAATTTATATTTGAGTCAAAGTTGTTGAAACTGAGATTCAAATATTCCAATTTGGTAAGAACATTCAAAAAATCGCCATTATCTAAATAATTCCCTGTAAGATTCAGTTTATTTAAAACTTTATTATGTGTGAAAACATTACGATTTAATTGTTGCAAGTTATTGTTACTAAGAGAGAGAGTTTCTATTGCTAAAAGACTTCTGAAAAAGTCAGACTGATTATCACCACGATGAATACCTAAGTAGTTCTGGTCTAAATTTAATTGTTTAATCGTTGCATTCTCAAATACTAAATTTTTCAAAGAAGTGATTCCATTTGAACTCATATCTAATAAATCAATAACAGCGTGGTCCAAAAAACTCATCGATTTGATTAAATTAAAACTTGCATTTAAAAGTGTGATTGTAGATGGTAAGGTTAGATTATTCAAAGCTTGTAGATTATTATTGCTAATGTAAATGTTTTTTAAACCTTTTGTATTGTTAAATACATATCCGTTCAAACTCTTCAAGTTGTTATTATTTAAATAAATGCTATCCAGGGTTTTAATATTTGAAACTAACTCACTGTTGATTGTTACTAACTTATTAAACGACAAATCTAAAAGATACAATGACTCAATCTGGTCTTTGAACAAGTCAGGTGGCAATTCAGTAAGAATATTATTTTGCAATGAGAGCACACGCAGTCTTTTTAAACCGACAAAACTTTTGCTATTTACACTTGCAATGTTATTAAAACTTAAATCCAAGTCTTCCAACATCGATAAGTTTGCAAAATAATTTTCCTTAACATTCGTAATTCTGTTGTACTTTAATGAAAGTTTTAATAAATGTGTTAACCCATTAAAAGCTCCTGGTTGTATTATTTGAACACTTGCGTTGTTAATTCGTAAATCTGGCAGAGTTGAAAGAAAGCTGAAAGCTCCTGCGGGTATTGCAGGACTTTTGGTATCGCTGATTTGTAACCACTTCGGCAACCATTTGTCAGCAAGCGGTTTCACTTTTGCACCAAAATTGGAAGAAATGGTTTCATTGAGACATTGAATACTGTTGTCTGATTTTATGGTATGCATACGGTATTGCCAGGTACGAATAGGTATGGCCGTGTTTATTAGAACACAAGACTGGAGAGTTTCCTTTGTAAAGAAAATTAACGAGAATAATGTACTGAAGCTGAAAAAATATTTTAAATAGTTGTTTCAACTATCGTTTTTAAAGGACTTACCAAAATTTCATTTTTAAAATTGTAGGTTGTGTACAGCAAACTAACTAAAACTAATTTCGTTTCCGAATTCAGACAGCTTTACTTGTTGAATCTCAATGTCCACATTTTAGATAAGTGTTATCGCATTTCCGTTTTGCTTTTGAATTACTGCAAGGGATCCCACACAGTAAATTCAACTTGATGATTTTTCGAATAATAATATTAAATTATATAATTTAATACTCCTATACATTTTGATGAGTATTATTGGCAAAAAAATAAACAAATAAACAACGCAAAAATAAATAATAATTATAAAAATTATCACTAGAAAAATTGTTTAATCGCATTTAATCTGAACTTTTGAAAAGAGATAGTATTTATCGTGGGTTAGTCAAATTGCACAGATAACTGCATGTATCTTCATTGAAACGTATTTATTAAATTATAACACTATCTACACAATAAATAAATAATACATAAAATACCTTAATATACCTAATAATTTACATCAAAAAGCGTTTTGATACTTTTCCGTTTTTTACTTTTTGTTTTATTTACAAATAAATTATAACTAATTTTACTTTTTTCTTGCGTTTTGGGGGTGTTTGTGTCAGAATCTCTTGAAAGTGAGGCAAGAGAGTTTGCAATTCCGTTTTTATTTGGCGCTCCTTTGAAACTACCGTTTTTGCTGCCGAAAACGTCTTCGTATAAATTGTTGACGAAGAACCTCTCGGACACATTTGGTAAATTCAAACTTCCGCTTCTAACTTTGATGAAGTTATTTTTCTTTTGGTGAATGTCGAGGGAGTATCTTCTGTTAATGTCTCGTTTCTTTTCTTTCATCTTTGAATTGTTTTCCAGATTTTTGAAAAATTGGATCGCTCGTTTAAATTGAGATTTTATCGTTTGTTTGCTCGATGATTTTTTTGTTTCTTCTTGTGCTAGTTTAGGTTTAGACATTGCTATAAAACTCGTGTTAATACTGTTCAACGTTTTGACTAGAATACTTACAGTTTGTTTTATCAAAATTCTGGACACGGTCAGATATTGAAGCGAAAAATGTTTGCTTTGCTTCCTGTTTGGGTTTAGTGTCCTTCTTGAAAAAGTTCAATTTTATGTTTATTGTTTTGGAGGGTCGAGTTTCTTCCCCGCACATATTTTTCAACAATTGTTTCTTTCGTTCTTCAAGCGGTATAAGAGTGCAGTCTTCTAAAGAGGTATCAACTGATTTATGTCTACGGCTATCATCCACATTCTTTGATTCTAGGACTAGTAAATTATCCACCGATTTGGTCATTATTTCATTTTTAGTATCTTTATTGTTCAATTTGTCTTCACTTTGGAAGTAATTATTTACGAGGTTTTTGGTAGCAACATTTCTCTTTTTGCTTTGATTATTACCAGTCTCTGAATTTGCTAAACTAACACTACTAGAACTTCGAGAAGACAATCGTTCCCAATAATCCTTTCTTGCTCTAAATGTATTTTCTTCATTGTTTTCTAACGATGCCATATTAGGAAGACTGACAGCTGAAGTTAATGAATCAGATAAACTGTTTTTGCGAGACTCTCGAAGACTGTTTAAGACGTTCAATACACTTAATTCCCTAAAAGCTGAGTTTGAAGAATCCTCGTTTTCAGTTGTAGAAAACGTAGTGTCACAATCTGGTACACTAACACTGTTTTGTTTCGCCAAAGTTTTGCGTTTTTCGGCTAAGGTAAGTTGGTTCAAACTACTTTTTTCTACTTCGGAATCAATATGATCGGGGCATATTGAGGAAGTGGTTTCTAGGGAATCAACGGAGGGGTTGGTTTTAGACGTATTTTTAGGGCATATTTCTAAATAAATCTTGCTTTTAATTCGTTTCATGGAACCATTTTTCGGAGAATTATTATTTTCGTCTTCTTCTGATTCTTGCTTTAGTAATTTGCTTGGTAATATATTTTCAAGTATTTCTTGTTTGCTCGTAGAATTGACAATGTTTTTCAAATATGTTGTCGATTCAATTAAATTGGCGTCTAATTTAGAGGCAAAAGTTTTCTCTTCTAGATCATTATTTCCACTATAAATTTCTTTGTAGTCAGTTTCATCGTAATCGTTTTGTAACAAATTGACAAGTTCCGTTCTGGCTTCATCGCAATTTCTTACAACTTTCTCACAAGAATCTACTTTCAAATTAACTTCGGTTGAGTCGAAAATGTGTGGTATTTCTGTTTTCAATTTTTCTGCAATGGTTTTTATTTCTTCTAGTGCATCTTTGTTGACTGGTTCGTGTTGTTTTAAAACAGTTTTGTCTTGGACTGAATTAATTTCTTCGATGATGTCTTCCAATGTGCAGTTAATTTCAGTTTTCAATATTTCGTCGTTCTTTTTTGTGATTGCAGTAATTGTGAGGTCATCAGATTCGCTTTCTGTTGAACTTTCGGTAATATCTTTAAGTTTAATTTGTGACACTTTGTTATTATCGATACATATCTTTTCGTCGACACAATCAATCACTTTTGAAAGAATTTTTCTTTTAGTGAATGTGATTTTTTCGTCGACATTTTCGCACTCAGTTTCAAAGCTATCCCTTTTATCCGATGTATTATTAATCACTTGAACAATGTAAGGGGTGCCTCTGAGTAACTCTCCATCAGAAATTAAATTAATCTCGTATATACCACTGTTGTTGGGGATATAAGTAATTTTCGCTCTGTCAATTTCCATTTCAATTTGTATAGGAATGTCGTTGGTTTCGTCCTTATCTTCTACACTGCTAATCAGCGAAGTGAAATCGAGAGAGATAGTTTTGAGAAAAGACTTTTGTTCTTCGTTTTTAAAAGGTAATGTTTTAGTGGCTTCGAGTTGATCTTTTAACACGTTCACAACGGGTATTGTTTTTAGATTGTGAAAAGGGGAGATAGTGGCTTTGCCTTGTGTGCCGTATGGCCCTCTGATGTACATTAACACATTGCTACGTTTTTTTGTAGTTGCGTTTGAATATACGTAGAAAACTGTTTTTCGGTGCTGCTCACCAGTGTATAAACCCATTCCTCGGGCAACATATTGAGATGAAAACTTGCGGTCTACACCGTCCTTTGTGGGCCATTGGTTGATGGCCTCCTGCAGCTTATGTAAATAATTAATAAAGTTTCTTTCTTGATTTATTGTTAATTCGCCGGAAAGCTCGTCCTCGGTGAACACCTGCAAAAAGCAACTTTCATTTACAAAACGGAATATTTTTTGTTAAAAATCAATACTTTCAACAATATTCTTATTCTTATGCGCCAGACCTCGCGCTCCAGAGAAAAATACTATATAGGGAAAGATACCAAGAACATGGAAAAAATTAGAAAAAAAAAGATCTAAATAAAACTAAATTAAATTTTGTACTTGGACTCTATTTATTTCTGTTGAAAAATAATTTTCCAAGTTTTTTTGCTACAGGTTATTAGAAGAGGAAACAAGGAAGCTGTATCCTAAACTGTAACTTTGTTCAATGTTATTTGTGGCCCTTATATTGTCAAAATTTTTGTACCTTTACTAAATAATTGTAAAAAAAAACATATACAAGATCATCAATATCATTAAATAGACATAAAAAAATGTCAAATGTCAAAAAATAAATGTCAAGATTTTTTGACAGATAGAATTTTTTTTCATTTTCCTGTTACCTGAAATTTTTCTCTAGAGCGCGAGTTCTGCCACACTCTGTATGTCACAAAATAAATAGTAATTAGTTTTGAAGTCCAAATAAAACAATATGATTATCTAAGTTTCCTTATTAAGCTCATTTTTTATAGAATCACTAATGTAAACACTAATGAAACATGAGCAGTAATATCTTTTTATTCCTTGGGCGGTAATATGTAGGTTTACCAATGTTGAGATTACAAAAATACCGGAATTTTTTCTTTCAAATTGTCAAGTTACGCATAATATTTTGCTAAATTAGTACCTACTTATTTGCTTCTGTAGCAGTTTCTCTTACTTCTATAATGCTACATTTACCATCTCGTTTGTAATGTACTATTTCATTACGAAAACATTACATTGTAAAAGCATTAAAATGTTTTTCCAATATCACGTGTTCGGCAAATATCGATAGAATTGTTCATGTAGTGTTTTCAAGTAAAAAATTGTTTATTATGTATAGAGGTTTTCCGAAGAATTCTTTAGAAAAAATAAAAATGCGTTCCACTATATTTACTCTTGCTGATGTAGGATTTATAAAAAGTTCAATTTATCGTCAAAACTATTAATTGAATAAAAACATATTTTATTATTTAAAAGGAAATATGTACAGGGTGCTGAATTTTGGATGTCCGAATAGGAAATCTCCGAAACTAAGATGTTAAGCCAAAAACGAGTGGTACATTCTGGGGCTCATTTTTTGAAAAAATAATATTTGTTAAAACCGCATCCCGCTATCATCTTTTGTTTTCGACTTACAGACTAAAGTTGACATTTTGGAGAAATCTAAAAAAAATCATATTTTCGTTATTATAGAAGATACGGATTTGTAGTAAAGACATAATATAGGTACTTTTTTTACGAGGAATTTAATAATGTAGTTAACAATTTGTTTCAGTTATTGGTTTAGTCGTAATAAGATAAACTTGTATTTTTTTAAATGGAAATCATAGGCGGCAATGGCAATTTTGAAAAGCTTATTTTTTTCTGATCTAAAAATATGTATTTGTAACAGAATATTTTTTTATAATTATACTTAAAAAATGTAATACATATTTTGTTTGATAATAGTTGGCCATGGAAAAACTATTTCACTCCAAATGTGTAAATAATAATCAATAAGAGTTTTGTAAACTGTAAAATAGATGAAAAAATAGATAAAATTATAAAAAATTAAAAAATACGATACGTTAGAAGTATTGAACAAATACGCGAGCGCCTCAGAACAACTTATTACATATTTAAAAAAAAAAAACAAAAATAGGAAAAACAAATGTGTCAATAGTCAACACAATTAGAAAAAACATTTTTTTGATGATCTAATGGAGGTAGGATAATGCTCCACATAGACGGAATTTGGATATTTGAATAGCCATATCGTCATTTTTATACATAAAATATATTTTATTAAAGAATTAAAGCGGCTTTTTTACAACACTCTATGTATCACTAGAAGTTACAATGGTTATGTTAGCTTGTTTAGAAACAAAGAAATGTTATTAGTCGCCAATAAGTTAATTTACGATTTATTTTGGATTTTTTTCATTACTGAGTACTTAGAAAACTCTTTCATTAGTGACACTATATAGTTTAAATCCTTTTAGTTGAAGTTGCACCATTTATAAATGGCCAACTGCGAACAAAAATCAAAGATTATTTTTTACTCAAAATGTATTATAATAATTTGTTACAAATATATATTTTTTAGATAAGAAAAAAACAAGCTTTTTAAAAATGACATAGCCATCTATCATTCTCATTTTAAAAAATACAAGTTTATTATATTACGACTAAACAAGCAACAGAAAAAAATTGTTAACTACATTATTAAATTCTACGTAAAAAGTGCCTGTATAATGTCTTAATTTCAAATCTGTGTCTTCTATAATAACGAAGATATGATTTTTTTCAGATTTCACTAAAATGTCAATTTTTGTCTATAAGTCGAAAACAAAAGACGATAGCGGGATACGGTTTTAACCAATATTATTTCCTCAAAAAATGAGTCCCAAAATGTATTACTCGTTTTTGGCTAAACCTCTTAGTTTCCGAGATTCCCTATTCGGACATCCAAAATGCAGCACCCTGTACATGTAACAAGAGATATTTCATTATACTAGGTATGTGTTACTTTCTTTGTTTCGTATATTTTCGAATATAAAGCAGAAAACCGTCACATCTTAGAACATTTAAGCGTGGTGATGGCAGATGTCGCTACAAATGACAAATTTAGGGCTTAAAACATTATTCTATTTAAAGAAAAAATATTAAAAAGATTTCGTATTTCATATTTTTTTAAATCTTTATTTGTTGTGTTTGTAAATGAAACTTGACATAAATAGAAATTAAATCTGCAACTTGCGTGATGTGTATTTGGGCATACGAATGTGCTTAGTAAAATAATAACTAGTTTAGAAATAATTAGTTATTACATTACAGATATCCTCTATGCAATTACCGGAACTAATCCCAAGTATTTGTATGCAAGAGCTTGTGCGTGAAGCGGCGGTTTCCTCCAATGTCTGTGTGGATTTGGACACGCCCCCGGAACAACAGAATTGATGAGTGTGCACAAAAGAGACCCATCTTTCCATAATTCAGGGATGCCACTAGATAAAGTCCTCGCTTGTGACGACCACGTCGAAGGCAATCTATCGCTGGCCCATTTCAACAATTTCTCCCTTTTACTCAGCGAGGGGCAATAAACTAGAAAAAAAATCACAAAGTTGATAACACGCTCCGAAGCATTATAAATATATCTAGAGCTAATTGAAATGTGATGGCCTTTTTTCGCCAATCCCCAATTTCAGCTACATCCTTGTTTACTAATTCGAAATTTATGACGTGAGCGTTTTATCAGAACTGCAATTAGTTCTGAAATTATTAATCAAGCAGTAGTCGTATAGCCACGCCTATCCATTTCTGTTTAAATTGGAAGTTTGTAGGTAAACAGTAAACCTCTCGCATCGCTCAAAACTGCATCAATTAACCAAAACCGAACATACACGCTTCGTGTTCTCTTTTTGGGTTGTTGTAATCTTGTTTTGAAGGGTCTGGTCCGGAAATTTGATATAAAAACGGAAAACATATGCAATTCAACCGTAAATACAAAGCTCAACCAACTTTTCTGTCCAGTGAAGACAAAAGGCCGCGTTTAGAAGGCGGCTAATATCCGGAAACAGATCAAAAAGATATATCCTGAGTAAGTGAGGCAGCAGAAATGTACAGATGCGACTCAATCATCTGAGCTGATGTGATATAATACTATCTCTTTTAACACAGAGCTTTCTTTCAAAACCGAATCAAATGTGTTTGTGTGGCTGACGGTGCGATTTTGTAATAAATCCAAAGGTTGCAATATAATTAAATCATGATTAATCTAGCCCAAAACACGATGTTCTTGAAAAATGAATATTTAATGCAATTTAAAGAACAAATTTTACAGAAGTCGGTGGAATAAAACAGCCGTTTCAGCTTCAGCAATTTCATCAAAAAATATTGTGTTGCTGAATTTTTAAATATCCAACATACTAGTTTGTATTCCACTTCATTACATCATCTCTTAGTGCACTATGCTGAATTTAATCGTTTTTACGCTTCACTTTCTTTGAAACGTAATGTCATAAATGCAAATAACATGCACCAATTTGGTCGGAATAATCTTAAGACCTGTGTTCCATTAACTCGCTTTAATCGTTTATGCACCTAAATGAGCAGAGAATTACACAGAGCGACAAAAAAAAGTCATGTCGTGACAACTTTTATATCATTTTGTTCGTCTCAGTGAGACAAATCAAATGCAATTAAAAAATTTTTAAAAAGTCACACACTTTGAACTAAATAATTTTTTTCTAATTTAAATGAATTTAAAACACTGTAACTTTAAAAAATTATTACTCAATAACTATTAGGCCGATTTCCTTCAAATAAAGACCGTTTTAAAGGGATGAACTTGCCCTTTGGAATGATATGCAATTTGAAATTGAATATTGGCAAACTTTTCTTCGAACAGTGTTCGAAGAAGTTCGAAGTAAATCGAAGTAATCTAAGAAAAACCCTACGAGTATTTTTTTTTTCTTCGTCACCATCATGTAGAGCATCTTTTTATTAAAAAGAATCCAAATTTTTAAAATAAAGAACAAAGAGTACCAGCGTACTAATTAAAGCAAATAAAGAGTTTTTTTGTTCTAAAAATGATCACTGATCATTGAGCAAAGAGGATTTAGAAGTTTAAAGCAGTAGCTTTAAATATAAGAACAAATCCTTTTCAAATTAGATCATTCAGATTCCAACTTGTTCACTTTGTTCGAGCTTTCTGAACTTTTTTTTTGAAAATGTTCTCAGCAAATGCTTTCTCATCACTTTCTACTGATGTTGAATGCAATAAGTCAGTTGCTTCGTGTGCAACTGTTATCACAACAACTACTACCTACAAGCTAATTGAAGCTAATCGTAGAATGTTCAAACAAAATAAATCAGGTGACATATTGCATTTAACATCACTTGAAAGTGATGAGAAAGCATTTGCTTCGAACATTTTCAAAAAATGTTCAGAAAGCTAGAACAAAGTGAACAAGTCGAAATTTGAATAGAAAGTGATTTAATTTGAAAAAGATTTGCCCTTATATTTAAGGCTCGTGCCTTAAACTTCTAGATCCTCTTTGCTCAATAATCAGTGGTCATTTTTACAACAAAAAAACTCTTTATTTGTTTTAATTAGTACGCAGGTACTCTGTTTGTTTTAAGTAAAGAAACAAGTTTTTGTTTATTCTAATTAGAACAAAGAAGGTGCAATTGACCATTTTTAAGCAAAAGAAGAGTCTTAAAACAAATACTTTTATAAAAGTGCAACTTTAAGTAAGATTAACATGCATTTCTCCTATATGGAGCAGTGCTTGATTAGCAAACCTTAACTTTAAAAAATCATATCTTGAAAACTACTCGGTATATTCTTTTGAAAATTCGGATTACAACTAATAAAGAGATGCTCTACATGATGGTAATGATGAAAAAAAATTACTCGTAGGGTTTTTCTTAGATTATTTCGATTTACTTCGAACTTCTTCGAACACTGTTCGAAGAAAAGTTTGCCAATATTCAATTTCAAATTTTATATCAATCTAAAGGGCAAGGACATCCTTTTAGAATGGTCTTTATTTGAAAGAAATCGGCCTAATAGTTATTGAGTAATGATTTTTTAAAGTTAAAGTATTTTAAATTCATTTAAATTAGAAAAAAATTATTTAGTTCCAAGTGTGTGGACTTTTTAATTTCTTTTTAGTGCATTTTATTTGTGTCACTGAGACGAACAAAATGATATATAATTTGTCAAGTTGTCACGACATGACTTTTTTTTGTCGCCCTGTGTTATGATAGGAATTTTCTCCAATTATTTTTTTGCATCCACTAAGGGGAACATGTATGAAGTGGAAATAAAGTTCTTCGTTGTGAAATCCCTACAGTATTGGACATTATCATATTTACCAGCGACACAACTCCTGTCCAGCTGAAGCAGCAACTTGGCAAAAATCCCCCTCTGTCCCCAGAGTAAAGCGAGTCCGGCAACTGGCAGCAGCACGTGGAGGAAAACGGAGAATCCCTTCCAGGGCTGGTCTTCGACGTTCTTGACCTCCTTGTGAGCATTTTCTGTAAAATTGATGAATGAGCGGGACGAATTTTTCGTCGCAACGTTAATTTTATTAAGCCGGTGTTACATCACATTAAAGCTTTAAATCTCAAAGTACACAACAGTTTCTTTGTTTAGAAAACCCGCATAATTTATACGGAATCCTGGCTCCCGCAGAATGCCTGCTACAAACACCGGCCAATTATAAAAGCGGCTGACACTAAATCAACAGGACAAGTTTAGAGATGAGAGCGGGTTAATTACAGATGTGCTTTAGGATGACACCTATAAATTATCTTACACTTTTCACCAAATACTGCGGATTTAAGGACGATCTGAGAGATTTACTGTGAATAGGAATCTTACGACTGGTCAATTCAATGCAGAATTGGATGGTCGAGTATAATGCTTTACCTATTTTAGAAAATTGGCAAGAATTTAGAAATAAAAAAAAATTCCGAATAATATAGTGTGTTTGACACTGTATACAATAAAACATCGAAATGCTTAAATGTATTAAGACTTGTCAAGACAAGGAAGTTTAGTTCCACAAAGTTTAGAAAGCTTCAATTAGAAGTTACGTATTTTATGTTTGCTTTTAAGGGTGTCCGCGACCAACGATTCGAGATGTTAGTTTAGTTCTTCTAGAAATAAGTGAAAACAGTCAATTGCTTTATGGATGTAATTATCTTTGGTAAACCCACAGACTTTATGTACGAAAACTAAGGTATTCAATAGCTAATTTTAAATGGTGCGGTTTCTTTTTCTGTGCAGCTTTTAATAAAAATGTTTTTTATTGGTTGTAGCGTATTTTTTTTAATAACAGTTTTCTCGACTCGAACAACTTCTTGAGTCCGCCTCTGCTTGCAAGAAATCGCAACACTTTGACCTGCTGCAACGGGTTTTAAACAGTTTAGGACTAGGAATTGATACCCAGCTCTTAGGTTGCAATAAAGCAATTGACTCTGTTCTCACTTATTTCTAGAAGAACTATTGAAAACAAGATTACTCTCTTAATATACAACAGAATTTCAAGTATTATACATCAAAGTAAAGGTTTTTTACATCTACAGGCCGATACGTTGAGATTAAAAAAAATGTAATACCTTTAAAAAAAGAACACAAATGCATAAATACTGAACTTGAACACAACTTTACTCAGTCAAGTAATCAATCTTGGTTTTTGTAAGATAATTTAAAAGAATATTCTATAGGCCGATGCGTTGGCATTTTTTTGAAAAAGTGTTTAGTTTTTGAGATATTGTGATTGATGTAAAACTCCTAAAGATTCGCTTTACGGTTTTGGTATTTGTTACTTACATTTGTTAATTCTTAACAAATTCAGCAAACACCATATATAAATAAATAAATATAAATAAATTATTGTAAAATCATTAATAGGATTAAAGAAATAATAACAAACTCTTTATGCTTTTTCATTAATCACCTTTGTGGAGTTATTTTTATCATTTAAGTTTAATGAATTTTGCTCTCGTTTGAAAAAATTGTTTATCCGCTGTAAAATGGAGCAAGTTCGGATATACCCTCATTAACTTGAGATTGTTATTTTTTGCAATTTTTTACGGGCCGTTGCTATAAAGCTACTTCGCTATAAAATTATTATAAAAGCTGACAATTTTCTTTGTGTAATTTCAGTAGGCTGTTTACTTTTTTTAATGGAAATTATCACTTTCAAAATGCGATTCCTGAAAAACGTTGTTTTTAGCTTAATGTGTTTGTTTATTAAAATAGAAAATAAATATTTTATAAAATGGAGGAGATAAATACATTAAATAAGAAAATATTTAACAACGTAATTTGTGGTAGCAGCAATTTCCGCTTTTCTGTTATTGTGGGTAAGGCTTTTAAATTATGTAAATGATGTAACGAGTATCTCCATAATTCCCTCATTTTCGAGAAAAAGTCAATTACGAAAAATGAGTAAATTATAAATGTTATTATCAATGCAAAATTGTATTCCATACAACCATTCCTTGCAAAATAGACCAATAGTGTTCCCCTAGTTGTCAAATCATTTCATAATTATTCACGCCGTTATTCACTTTCAGAAACTTCGTCATCTAAGGAAAGTTTTGTGCATTCCAAACAATACATAGCACGTATCTTGCCACTCGAAAGTGCTCAAATGCCGCTATAAATTTGCCCGAGTATTTTATGGAGATATCAGTTTGTTTGATTGTTTGTTTTTGGCAGTAAAATATGTACGGCGAAAATTAATTCACCGATTCCGTATGTGGATGTATTGTTTATTGATTCACAAAATCGTACAATAAAAAAGAACCATAAAACTTTGAGCAACTAATTTTCAATTTTGACTAAATGTTTAATTCTAAATAAGTAAAATAAAGCACTTACCACGTCTTTTGGTGCTCATATCTCTGAATTTTTGTCGTAAGAAAAACTACATTCGTTTGTTTCGCGATAATGGCACATTAACTATTGAAAAATGTTATCAGAAAATACTGTAGCTATTTAAGTAGATATTTCTAGATTAATAACAAATAATCATTGTTTACAATCAAACTTTTTTGTATTTTTCTAGAGCACCGGATTTTCAATAATTCATGTAATCTCGAGTAAATTTTTTTATCTACGATCTTTACGTATTTTAAAGATCTTAATTATTTGATTTATATTTTTGTAATACCAATTATCGCACTAAGTGCGGTAGTAATTTAATTATGGTACTGTGCACTCATTATTTTTACATTTATTTGATCTCACCGCTAACGCTTGAGCGTAACAATAAAGTATACTCACTTTTGTTTGTTGTTAAAAAATAAATACAGTACAATATTCTTCATATATACGTAAACAAATGTTTAAATTTATCCAAACATTCAATGTAAAATTTTTCCAATTTTATCAAGCTCACCTACGAGTGCATTGTGATGGGAGTTAAAGGATTTTAATTAAATTAGAATGCATAGTTGATGTTACTGTTTTCTTTTCCAAGAAAAATTATAAGGTTTCATCTGCAAATTAAACAAAATCAATTTTTCTTCCAATTTAATTTGACCTGTTTTTTAAGCATTCATTAAAACAAATTGTTCTTTAAAATTTTAGTACACACTTTCTTGCTGTCATCAGGTTTTTAACAGTCAATGAACTTCAAATGAAAGGAGTAAATAGACAGTTTGAAGTTTAATCGTTGAGCTTTTATGTTTTACAGATTTTATTTTAATGTTACAGTATATTGACTCAAAGCATTAGTTGAATTTCAGCTCCCTGGAAAATATTAAGAAAAGATAATCACTGCCTCCAGGGAAGCAATTATAATTTAAGCAATTTTGTATTTCATCATATTCTTCAAGCGATGTTAATAAGTAGCACTATGTAGACATCTTTCAAGGTGTGGAATTGTCAAATCGAGAAGAGATAATATTGATAGAAATCTTATCAGGCAAAATATTTATAGTACCTACACGTGTTTTTAAATAAAAAAACAATTTTTATAACAGGGGATAACAGAAATCACGTCGCTTATTTCTAATTGAAAAATTAACGTAAGAATTTTGTGTTTGATTTTATCTATCGTTTTACCGTTAATTTTTAGAGATTTAAGATTAAAAAACTTACCGATGCTGGTGATCATCCAAAATATAATTGGTAACATAACTATAGCAGACTAACACTTTGCACTTAGTATACACACTGTTTGTTCAACGATGTTTGCTTTATCACATGTTTGTGGAACACATGAACGTGAACAAATTCTTGGATAGACTAAATGTTTTTAATAACAGCGCAGCAAAAATAAAGGAGAATATAACACGCCGGACGTATAAACACATTCTAAAAAGACATGCTACAATAAGTCTTAAATGCAACAGATATCTGGCTTCCTCGTTAATGCTTAAAGAGCATGAAGAACTTTCTAAGTCCGCAATAATTTTCTTTCACGTATTAAAATTCGTCTAAATAAATATTCATAAAAAACTTGACCCAAATGTTGCCCACAATAACCAATTATGTATCGTGAACATTTATCGAAAATTAGCAATTTAAAAGTGCCCCATAGCTAAAATAACACCCGGCGAAAGCGGAAAGAAATTTCAAACTAGAAAATTTTAATTGCACATTTTGTACGACACACGGTAATTATCATACCTTCGATTATCGTTACTCAATCTTTTTGCATAATCAACAGAAATTAAAAATCTTACGAGAAATTTTCTGAGGTTAATGGAATTTTGTAAAGACTGCTCGATAAAATTCAATTTGGGAACGCTATAAATGATTATGAAAAAACGAACAAAAATTATACAACTTTGTCAATTGAATTTAGCGCTTTAGTTAATTACAATCCTGAAAGCACTTTGATGTAAAGCTTCTAAATACATCACCCAATTTCTTTTTCATTTAATTTACTCTGAAATAAAATTGATGAAATACACACCCAAACCGAAGCTGCGAAAATTTATTCCTACTGCAACACACTTTACAGTATCGCATATAATTTATTACTATTAAAAATATATTTATGAATTTCGAAATCTTTTCCTTGAATAATTAGTTTTATCACAACTTTAGTGAGAAAGTATTTTATTAACACCTTAGTAACGATATTTTATTAATACATAAAATAAATAATAATTATCATTGAAAACTTACTAATTAATTGTTTAATTGGTGTCGTATAATTGCTATTTTATTTATTTGAAAAATAGGTTAATGGTGAAATCATAATCATTGATTCAAAAATAATAATTCGTCTGTATTTATTATCATTATGTTTCTAAAAATTTAGATTGCTCTTATAAAAAAAAGTGGATAAAACTCAGTATAATACAATAATGACACTTGTAATTGTAATCAGTGTGTTTAACTGCATTTTTAATTGGTGGCTTGAAGGTCAATGTACATGGTCAATGCAATTTATTTCTAAAACAATGAAAATTTTACGATATATGCAGAAACAATGCCACAATGACGCAATTAACGTGAAAATCGTCTATTTATGTCTGTGGAAATTAGATATTGTAAAAGTGATTTAAAATAATTATCGATTAAAACTTTAGGTTCGTTATTTTCTAACTGTACATGTCTTCAAGGTGATTACTAGTAATTAAAATGTTGATTAAAGTGTGCCTAAAAAGTCGTAATAACGAACTGAGGTTAAAGACAGAAAATTACAGGATATTAATAAAAAATAAATCTGAAAGTAGTACGTCCAAGATCATTAATTTACTGAAAGAAATTTATAAACACTATCATACATGTGCTGTCCTAATGAGGAAGCCTGTTCTGAAGCAAAATACTAAATCAAAACAGTATTTTTCACATCACTTTGTTCACGGTGCAAATATCAACACTGGAGCACTTGTGTGTAGTAAGTAGGTGTTTGTAGGTTGACAATTTAACCTATAGACTTTGGATGAAATTTATAACTAATTGAGCCACAATTACAATAAATTCTATTTAAATTTCAACTCACTTGAAAACACTCTTGCATATGCAAGATACTGAATTGATATGACCATGTAGCCAAATTCAACATAACGTAAACTCAAGTGATTGTAATTGTATTTGCTATTGAGTTTGTCCTTTTATAGAATTAATTTACAGCAATGAAAAACACCTAAGCTATTATTGAAATGTAAAGCAAAATTAAATATGCAAAGCTAATAATATTTGCAAATGTGACAATTTATCTGTAAATATAAAATGTGTAAAAAAGTATTTCTTTGCACGAGTGTAATTTTTTTGTTAAACACAAATATTTAAACTAAAAAATAATTAAAAGTAATGTGTTGTTGCAACACTTTCTTTTGATTTGATTTTAGGCGACCCTCTCTAGTGATAAACTTTCTTAGTGCAAGTGTATTTGCATAAATTGCTTTCAAACTTGCATAAAGCAAATTCCAAAATTAACATAATTAATTTAGTGTAAAGTAAATTGCACGTTTTAAGTGTTAGATATGTTAAACAAATTTATTATAATTTTCTAATTAAATATTACACAATTTCTTTTCACTGAAAATAGTGATTGTATTAAAATTTTTATGGAAAAAGAAAACTTTATTAAATGAGATACTATTTATTTTTGGGAAAGACTATTGCTATTGGGTTAGCATTGCTCCACGGCAACTATCTCTAATCCTATGATAACTAATTGTTAGCCACGTATCTCTCCCTAGATATCCCTTTAATTGTTCTCAAGTCCGGTTCTGATTCGGTGGCATAATCGTCTTAACCAGAGATAATGCTTTGATTTAATAGTTGCAATACATTCTCCTTTGATCAAATATGTTTAAGAATATTTTCCGGTCCATGTTTTGATTTAATAAGTGTAAAATTCACCGTTTGTTTTCCTTAATTTCCATTCGTTTAATCAAATCATTTAAATACTTGCTCTTCCTTTAGTATAAAACTCGGTGGTCGTACCATGTTTATTGCACAAAATGAAATTTCGAGGGTGCAAAGCACGCAAATGGAAATTTAAATTGAAAGGGTAGAAACCGATTTAAATAATTTATTGTTGATGGTAAAAGGATCGGCTCAAAACTGCCCCCTAATTTTCGTCTCTAAAAACAAAACGTCACATGAAGGAATCCTTTGATCAATTTATAGGGTGAGTCGAGATGAATCAAGGGATGCAGCGATTAGCCCCCGAATGCGTTGGTGAAAGTGATTGATGACAAAACAGAGTACCGTCCCTTATAGTGACACCTTCATGTGACGGTCACATTTATGTCACTTTACAACGAACACTACTTTCCTATCCACTAAAACATCAATTTTGCACACCCTGTAATTTGTTTACTGTGTATTGTAATTAATTGAATGCAATGTTATCGACGATCGATGAGCGAAAAGGGTGAAAGAAAATAAATCTGAGTGTGACACATGATAAACCGATCTGTTGTTATCAATGATAACAAAGAAGAATAAAAGCACTTTTATCTCTTTTACTTTGAATACATTTTCCTCTATCTGTTATTTCCCCAATTTGTTTTATTTGAGATCAGACAACAATAATACGCGAAGAGTTTGCTTGCAATTATTGTTACCTGAAACCTAGAAACATCCCTAAAAGTGGCTTGACTTGTAAAAAACTTTACTCGTGTTTTAAAGCAATAATGTCATAAACTGTAGCAAAGTGCCATTTAGAACTTAAAGTTTTTTAATATTCGTAACATGATATTTGGTCGTAACAAATTGAATTATAAACTTTTTCCCCGGAAGGGATGGTTAAAATTACACACTTATTAGGTGATGCTTGTTTAATGAACTAACTTTCATTTTAATTATATTGCTGTGTTTCGATGATTTAATGAAGTTAATAATACCTACATATACCGTGTCGTAGCTTGTAAATTCAATAGTCTAATATGTGTAACTTTTTAACTCAGATTATTACGCCTAGTTTCCTTAGTAATTTTACTATTTTTTCAACAAAATTCAGCAAAAACTATCATAACAATTATCGAAATTTTATGGTTTTAAAGAAAATAATACAGGTATTCAAGAAAAGTCTAATAATAATAATAATAATTAATTAATTTTACATCCAAAATCACTCTTTGCATCTGAACTATCTTCTCCATCTTCTCCACTATTACTTCCAGATGCCATTCGTTACTTAAATAATTATCTTCATTTGTCCTTACGCGCTTACACATATGTTTCCAAATTTTGTCATATTTAGTAACATTAGAAAATTTATTTTGTGCCAAAATTTTTGCAGCTTCAAGCTTAAAAGTTACATTATTTTTCGCAATTCTTTACTATTCCCCAGATGTTCTCTATAGGATTAAGATCAGGGTAAAAAGTTGTTTTACGGAAAGATTCGAAAGAGATATCGTAAATTAAATTTTAAACATTATTTATTATAAAAAAGAACATATGTTACAGATGTAGACTACACTAATAATAATTTTTCTAGTAAATCTTCAGTTTATGTTCCTATTTTCTATGCATTTTTTTCAACTGGCTCACATTTTTTAAGAAATCATAAAAAGGGTAGTTTTCCTTATTTTTGGCATAAAAATCTGGCTCACATTTTTAAAAAGGCCATAAAGAATTGATGTTTCAATAAATAAATTGGGCTTAAAACAGGTCATTTTCTTAATTTTTTGTGTTTTTGAAAAGACTTCAATAGGCTGTTTTTCAAACTGGACCAACTTCAATGACTAAAACTTGAAAATCGACTCATTTTCTAAAAAAAATGATGATTTTGGGAAAATCTGAGTTAGAAGTTAGGGGTTAAAAATAAGGGTAAAAAGTCAAACGTTGTTTTTGATGTTTAGATTGAAGTACGGGTTTTTGATGAAAAAAAAATGCATAGAAAACGGGAAAATCACTAAGGAAATTAGGCATAATAGTCTGAGTTAAAAAGTTACACATATGACTACTAAATTCCTATTTGTTGAATATGATAGAAATTAATTTGATTATATTTTGAGTTGTAAGTATTCTTTAAAAGTATACATTTTAAATTTATACTTTCCAAATACTGATTAAGTAATTAATAATGATCGTTCAAATATCTTTTAAAATGAATCAAACCAATTATCAGTGTCGAGTCTTAGTATGCAACCAATTCAACTAAGCTGCTTCACAAACTAATAATGTAATAATGTAATGTAATTAAATTATCTTGATTCAGTGCTTTTCATACTGTTTTTATTAAGTTAATTATATAAATTATATACTTATAAATTATATACTTACTTATATACTTATAAATTATATATTCTTTAAATTCACGTAGGTAAAAAGCTAAAACCCAATTTAAACATTATTTATTTTAAAAATCATCTGAAAGGAGAGATAACTATTTTTGCTTTTTTTCTGAAATAAAAGTCAGAAATGCATCTGTCGTAGTGTTTTTATTATTGTCAGATTGCGTTGGGAAAATACTGTACTAAAACGTTGCAATTACATTTAATTTAGTGAGAATCAATGAGACCTTTTTTTGTAAAAAAATTACACTTATCTTACTTACTAAATTACCAAAAATTTAACATTTGTCGAATGCAATGTTAAAAAATTAAGAGAATAATAAAAAGTCTCCAAGGCGATTTATGTGGGCTGTCTTAATTTAAAAAAATATGGTACTCAAGTGGGGCCTAAAATAACGTAGCTTACGCCTTAATCTTGTGATAACATTAACGTGTGCTTTTTCTCCCTTGGACTAATATATCGTAGTCTATGAGCCCATTAACAATGGGGAAAGCTCGGCGATAAGCTGAGGAAACTGCTTAATACAAGAAACAAATGCTTCGTTAACTGCACTATTCCTCAATCTTCATAATAATCTCTTTCATAATTTTTGTTTTCTTTGTCTGTACTCTTTTATGAACGTAATTGTCCCAGAATGAAGTAGTTTTTGAGAGCTTACCTAATTAAAATGTCATGTTAAATGAAGTTCGCAGCGACAAAAAGTATAAAATATGCGGAACACTGCTTTATTCGCTGATTCTCAATTTTTCCTAGTCGAATTCCTTTTGTCCCGTAACAAATTCGTTAGTGTTCCACTTAA